ATCATCAACAAAATCTTATTAGCATATGGAAAGAAAGTTTTCGTAAATTTTTCTTCCATCAACATTTTTTTAGTGCATTTAACTTAAATCTGTAATCATTGCCAAGCATAATGTCACCATAAAAGGTTACCACACTCCTTTATTATTCAACTACTAACATGGAAAAAAATTGTTTAGGCATCACTACATGAGTCATTACTCAAGTGGTCATGTTTTGATAAACATGCAGTGATGAAAGAAAAGTATAATAAATAATTATTCACCAGGTTGGCGTCAGATCAACGATGTATCTATGTGGAATTTTTCAGTTTGAGATGTGTGCCAAAAAGTATGCAGCCATGGAGCCAAATTACTGACCTTACAAATTTATGCTAAAATGCTTGTTTCTTCAATAACAAGGTATTTTATTTAGTGTGGAAGTGAAATTAAGAATCGAGACTCTCCAGATGTTTTATTATGCATGGAGGGGGGAATCAAATGCTCATACGTAAAGCCTAGGAGAAAAACGCTGTTTTTGGTTTTGAGGTCCAGATTTTAGATCATTCTAGATAATGGGCGTCCGGATTTCGGACTTTGTACTGTACTACTTTAGCTTATTGAGAAACTGAAATTTATCAAGTATACGCCCAAATTGACAATTTATCATGTACTTGTATGTTATCATGTGACGGTAATCGAAACAAAATGAAAACTGTTATTTGAATAAAGAGCCGAACTGGTCATATAAGAAATTTATTCAATAAAAGTCATTTGTTTATTTAAAATTTCCCAAGCAGTCAAAATGACTGCTTTTGGGCAATATAGGTATAACACACATATATATACCGTAAAACAAGGATGTCAAACTCACAGCCCACAACAAATATTTTTGCGGCCCGGCCAATATATTGGCAAATAATAATATATAATAATAAAATAACATATCGACGAAGGAAAAAATGAAATGTTTACTGCTAAGTAATTAACAATAATTTATTCAGTGTTGTTAGATTACTCACAGCGAGCTGACACACACACTACTTAAATTACAAATGCGTGTGAGTAGCTTGCGTTCAGCTACCTTTGGCTTTTGGGGGACACGTGCACTGAGAACTTGTATGCATCCCATGATAGCCGAATGTGGCCGAACTCATGGTCTCTGTTTTCCAATCATAGTTTTGTATGATATATTGGTGCATGCACTTTGCTTTATTATTAATTATTACTTAATTCATATTATTACGGATTTCATAGTTATTTATTTATTTAGTTTTTTTTATTTAGAATTGTAATTAGATTTGCTTCATGTTGCCTTAGCAACGCAGACGATTTTTGAAAAGACAGCTGCGTTGGAAGGTTAAAAATAGAACAGCGCGTGCATTTAATACCTAATAAATAAATATCTCGTAATTGCTGTTGCCATCCACAAAAATCCAGATATTTATAGATGTTTCCAGTATATTCGAGAAATTAATTATAAAGCTTATAAAAGCCGAGAACAAACAACTCATCTCAGTAGTAGCTGTAGTAGTTCTAGCGAACTGTTTGTTTACTTAATGCTGTGATTGATTTGTAGCGATTTCGCTGTGAGATAGAATTAGTTTCTCTGTTTTGAATTGATTTTTGCAAGTGTTTGACATTTTCTGATATTGTTAGAATATTTTTGAAGAAGAAATTTTGATTTATCTCTTGTGGAAAGAATAAATTTTTGTTAACTTTTTAACGTTAACCGTGTTTATTCCAGCCCTTTGTATTCAGTATGTCTATATCAAAACCAAGTGGTAGTAAAATTAAACGAAAAATCGCTGACGAACATAGAATATTCCAAGTAAAATGGGAATTAGAATATTTTTGCTGTGAAATAAAAGATAAAATAATCTGCTTGATATGTAATAATACTATTAATGTACCAAAGTTATATAATATTAAACGTCATTACGAACAACACAAATCGAAATATAACAATTACGAAGGATTAATGAGAGAGAAGAAAAGTTGAAAGAGCTCAAGTTAGGAGTGAAAAAAAAACAGTCCATGTTTAGTAAAGTATTGCAAGAAAGTGAAGCGGCGGTACATGCAAGCTACGTCTTGTCCGAGTTGATAGCTAAACATTCGAAGCCTTTTACTGACGGTGATTTCATCAAGGAATGCCTAATGAAAGCTGGAGAAATTGTTTGTCCTGGAAATGTGAAGGCTTTTCAATCAATTTCATTGTCTCGAAATACAGTTGCGGAAAAGAGTTACTGATTTAGCCGCGAATTTAAGTGATCAGATCAAAGCAAAATCATCTAGTTTCGAAAGTTTCTCCATTGCCTGTGACGAGAGCACGGACATTAGTGGCAAAGCTCAATTAGCAGTGTTTCTTCGTTCTTGTGACAAGAATTTTAACATTTTTGAGGAATTACTGGAACTAATACCGATACCTAGTACTACTACATGAGAAGATATATTTACTTGTGTTTTTGGACTTCTGCAGAAATACAATCTACCTTTGGCAAAATTAAATTCTGTAGCTACAGATGGCGCTCCATCAATGACCGGGAAAATAAAGGGCTTCGTAGCATTATTAAGAAAAAAACTTAGTGAAATTCACGGTTCAAACATTCATCATATGCATTGTATTATACATCAAGAAGTTACATGCACGAAAGTAATAAATATGGAGAATGTTTTGTCATATATAAAAAAAGTTATAAATTTTATAAGATCTCGAGGTTTAAATCAGCGTCAATTCACTGCTTTCTTAAGTGAGTTAGATAGTGAATATTCGGGTTTGTCCTACTATACCGAGGTACGTTGGTTATCTTGCTCCAAGATTCTCAAACAATTCTGGGATTTGAAAGAAGAAATATGTCAGTTTTTAAAAACGAAAAATCAAGACGTAAGTTTGTTTTACGATCCAATATGGATACAAGATTTATCTTTCTTGGTTGATATAACCAAACACTTAACCGATTTAAATTTATCGTTACAAGGAAAAGATCATATCATTACGAACATGTTTGACATAATTAAAGCATTCAAATGTCAACTAGTTCTTTGGGAAAAACAACTTAAAAATGAAGATTTGACGCACTTCCCGACGTGCAGCATGAACAAATCAAGTTTAGATGATACTTGTTCGTATCAAAAATACGCAGAAAAAATTGCAAATTTAACAACTGAATTTGAAACGAGGTTTAATGATTTTAGTTCCCTCGAAGACAAATTTTTTTTTTTTTTTTTTTTTTTTTTTTGTTTTTTTTTCTTTGATTTTCTCAATAAGTATTGACTCAGTACCCAGCCATATGCAAATGGAGGTGATCGAGATTCAATGCAACTCAAATTTGAAAGCAAAATTCATTGAAGTGGGCGTGCCTGAATTTTACAAATATTTACCAGCCAGGTTTGAAAATACTCGAAAATTCGCATATGAAATTATTTCCATGTTTGGTAGCACTTATCGGTGCGAGCAGTTATTTTCAGTCATGAAAGGTAATAAGTCTCCTATTAGAAACCGTATTAATGATGCTCACCTTGGGTCAGCGTTGAAAGTTATCATTGCAAGCAAAAAATTTCTCCCGAAATAGGAAAGATAATATCAGAGAAGAGATGTCAAGTATCAGGACGTAAACATTAAATTTTTCTTGTTCTTTTCTATATAAATATATATATATATGTTTATTATTGTATTATTCGAAATAAATCTACGTTTCTAGGAATTTTTTTTTTTTTTTTTTTTTTTTTTTGCGGCCCGCCTAAAGTTAAACCTTGTTTGTTTGGCCCAAGCCCAAGTGTACCTATGAGTTTGACATCCCTGACGTAAATGAAAGAAGGGTCTAACTACAATTATTAACAAACACATTTATATGTTGTATAAAAAGTCACAAAATTCTAAGAAATTGTGTCATTATATACATAATTGTTTTTCTAATTGAAATTAAAAAGCAGTCGAAATGACAATCTAGTGTTAAAATATCCATTCATAGAAGAAATCGAAATTTGATAATTAACACTATAGCCTCTACGATCTATTACCAAAGATAGGCTTTTCGCCATCCAGTTCACATACCACAACTTCTAAATTTTGCTGCCAAGTTTATTATTAAATTCTGGGAGAGTAAAACCATGGAACATGTATCATTTAAAAGAAAACAAAGGAAGGCAGCTATGTATGCATACCACTAATTCATTATGAGTGAGACAAATGGCAATGCATATATTTTCAGACAAAAGGTAATCATATGTAGAATATTTTGTAAATAAAATTACATTTTATCAAACCATGCTAAAATTCTTATCGGCATTTTAGATTCTCTAAACATACTGTAATAAATACATAAAATTCTATGATAATTTTTAAATCTACTTGAATAAAAGAAATAGACAGACTGAAAAAATTTAATAATGCATTTAATTCTTAGATTATATGAAAAAGACATGAGTAATATGAGTAAATCTATAGGAATAATCGCTTAAAATTCTGGAAAAAAAAATTAACTCTCAATAAAAATCTAGACTTTATGTTTAACTGTCAATGAAAATTTATATTTTATGTTTTATTCGATTTAAAGACATTTAATCATGTAAAATATTCAAAAATCAAATTGCACATTTTTATTTTTTTTCTTAATGGTGGGATAATATCTAGTATCTTTGTGTACTTTGACTAAATTATTTTTAATTAACAATATAAAAAACAGTATTAGCAGAAAATAACTTTTCTACTTTTCTCACTTTCTGTATGCTTCAATCAAAATAATATTTAATTATATTTCAAAAATTTTAAGTGATCTGCAGAGAAAACCAATTTTCAAAAGATCCTACTCCTTGAAACATTATGAGCTATAGGGCTAACTTTGTGGATCAACCAATTCCCAGTAATATACAGCTTATAGCTTTTGAGTTTTATATCACTACATAAGATACTATGTGATACTAAAATAATACCCTGCATCTATTGCTTGTTCTTATAGATAAAATTTCTGAAATATTCCTTTGTTATAAGCATGGCACACTCTAACTCAAATTATCTCCACTAGATGGCAGCACTGCACCACCATAGGAGACTGCCTCCAACAGTGACATCCTTACTGCTGGGACCTTTGGTGATGATTACGCCTCCAGTTACCTGTTTCATACACCATTCTTTGTGTTAATTAAATGTTATTTCATTAAGTGGCTTATTTTTAGTTTTAATTTCTGCAGTTTTATAATGTGTCAAGCATTATTTAAAATTTGTCATGCAGCAATAATCATAAGCGTACGTTAGATACCAAAACCCAACATTAGCAAATCAACAATGAATTCTTTCAATTATATCTTTCTGTGCACAAGGCCGTGATAAGATTTTTCATAGTTAGCAAGGCTTAGCTTCTGGGTTATACTTCGAATTTCAGTTTCTTCACCTAGCAGTAAGATAAAAACAGTCCATAATTGAAAAAGTAAAGTTTCAATAGAACCTTAGTACACTGCAGTCCTAAAAGTTGGGTCTTTTACTTTAATATATAGAATTGTACAGAAAGAGATTCATTCACATTAATATCAAATGCAAAATTATGTAAAACTGAGACTTGAACTGCTTTTAATTTTACAGAAAATTCTATCAATTTTGAGGATGTCAAATTTCCAAAGCACAAATATAATTTTTTTTTTTTTTTTTTAATGCCAATCCAAGATTGATTTTCACCTAATTTTACATTCAGTAGACTGAGAAAATAAAACAGAAACTTTTCAAATATTGGACAGTATGAACCTTTCGCTAAGCTAATGATGTAACAAACAAACTTTTACAAATTATTTATTAAACAAAAGTTAACACCATCAGCAGTACTTAGTTACACTGGTCATTATTTATTTGTGCAAAAATATAATTCATCAAAAACTTTTAACTTTTGGATTTGGAAGTTTAAAATGTGAGAAGGGCCATATTTATTTATCTCATGTTTATTCTGAAAAGCCATACAGGAAAACAAAACAATTTGGAGTAAACTCACTTCCCCTCCTTTTTTTGGTACGTGTGGGGGGGTATTTATTTTTTTCATATGTATTTAAGATATACACTCAGTCAAAAAGAAGGGCGGAGAGACAGTTGTACATCTCTTCTACTGAGTGCACTGACAAAATTCAGCTTGCATTTTTCATGTGTCGACAACTTAGGATATGTGCTAGATTTATATATAATGTTGTTCTAATATACATATTTTAACATAAAATCATACTTTCTCTGAAATGATGTGCTAATTTTTTTTCCATATTTTAATTCTATTACTCAAATTATGCTAAAAGTTTTGTAAAAACCGCAAGAGTAATTGTTAAAAAATTAGGTCTCAAAATTTCTGCTCCTCTATGCTAACTGATTTGTTAATATCTCTTTTCTTATTAAACTCGATTCCTTCTTTCACAAATTTCATTCAATTCAATCTAAATTGAATTTGCCGATTTATTTTTTTAATTTGTACATTTTTAGTAATCTGAAAAATGTTTAGCATCATTTTAAAGTAAATCTCTTTCTGAGCATACCTGTAAAAGAGTGTTTTATCCAAAATTTTCTAATATACATGTAATTTTACATACTGGCACATTTAAAAATTTGGCATCTTTATTTTAAGGAATAATAATGGAAAATGTGGTTTCACAGATTTTGTTACAATCCTCAATGAATTGTCACTGCTATTTTAAACTTAAATTTCCTAATAAATTTTTATGGAGAATTAATTGTTTTGAATTTTTTCCCTCAGTTTTATTAATGATGCATAATAAATACATTTATTAACACTATATAAAAAACTATTTTTTTAAATTATAAAGAATTTTAATTAAATATTTTTTTTAAATTCTCTTCCTCTTTCCTTTTTTTTTTTTTTTTTTTTTCCCTTTCTTTCTTCTCAAATGCTTTGTAAGAGTAAATTTTTACCTTTGCCATGTTATTGTCTCCTGCTTTATTTTCCTTTAAATCAAATTCGCTAAAATTGAAAAGTTTGATTTTTTACCCACAGTGTCTATAACTAAACGCCATGTCAGTATAATTTTGGGACATTTCCAATCTGGAAAATCTTTTCACACTCTGTCGGGCGTGTCTCGAATCTTGCGGCATCGAGCGCGCTGTATCTGTCAGATACATGTCTATTTTACGTGTTTTCTGGTGATCTATATTACTTTACATCTTCTGTTTTTATTCTTTTTAGGTCCAAGCTTTTACATCCAGACCTTTCTTTCTTTATTTTTTTATCTTTTATTTATTATTTACAATTACTATTACGAAGGTTAAAATGCCGTTTAAAAACACACACAATGAAACATGTTAATATAGTTGGAAAAAAAAAATAAAAATATGGCAGTTGTTCACTAATTAATATCACGTAAAAATACGTAATATAAAATGACAAAATAAATCAGTTTTACTTTAATTCGATTCTAAATTTAAGTTTGGTTTTTATTTGAACATTTCTGACACATCATTACTGCATGTTCCAAACAAAAATATTCAGCACATCTTATGCAGGAATATTGGGTCAATCTTCTTTTTTTATTTGTTTGACATGTAGAGCACCTTTTGCGTTTATTTTGGTTACTGGGAACTTTTGCTTTTTTTTCCTTCTTCAGCAGTTGGTCTGTAGGTTTGAAGTTCCATTTGCAAATCCTTTGATAAATTAGGTTTAGTCATGCGCCTAACAACTTCTTCATTAACTAATTCTTTCACCAGTATTTTCAAATACTCTCTCCTGTTCTGAACAGTATTCTGGCTTCCCAAAAATACAACTAGCCTGTTTCTAGCTGAAATATTTAGCATCGAATAAAATACTATCATCGGCCACCTCCTTGTATTGCGAGCGCAATTTTAAGTTTCACACATTCTTATTCAGAGCATCAACACCACATTTTGTAGCATTATAAAATGTGATTATATCTGGCTTTTTCTTATCTCCAGTGTTTGCATCTATAGCATCATCAAAGTGCATACTTGATACAAGCAAAACGTTTTTGCCTTTTTTCAGTATGTATGAAACTAAAGTGCAGTTTTTAGAAAAACCAAATAAGCTTGAATGTACTACTTTTCCTTTAGATTTCGCAAAACAGGGAGGTATTTTTTTCTTATTGTTCCAACGTAAGAAAGTTTTTTATCTTTTAGCGCTTTTACAACATGAATAGAGGTAAACCAATTATCTGCGGTGATATTGCGACTGCTGTTGAAAATTAATTCAGATAATCGCAGAACAACATCTTGGAGAATTACTGACACTAAATGGACCTTCAGGCTGTTTTTCAGTATATATTTCTAAATTCAATGCATAAAGCATTTTAGCATCAACTGCTGCAAAAATTTTAATGCCATATTTATTTGGTTTTGATGGAATGTACTGGCAAAAAGGGCATCCGCCTCTAAAACCTTCTAATTTCTCATCTATCGAAACATTTTGTCCCACCCAATAATTACTCTTACATTTTCCTACAAATTTCTCAAAAATTTTGCTAATAAGTTCTAATTTTTCCTTCTCTCCTTCCTTGTCTCTTTAACATCAAATCTACAGCATCTTAGAAGAAATTTAAATTGCTTCAGACTCATTACCGTTCTAAACATCTCAACACCCATTCCATCAGTAGACCACAGTTCTTCCAAAATTTGTCGATTACCTCGCAGAACGTCAGCTAATAAAAGTAAACCTATAAATGCTTTTATTTCAATGATATCTGTTAGTCTTGTATCTCTTTCTCTACTAAATCGATCAGAACTTGTAGAAATGTATTTGTTAGTGTATTTCAATTTCCAATATTCGATCAGAATAAAAAAAGTTCCAAGAGTCGTATATAGTTTTATACCTTTTGCATTTCCAATTATTCCAGGTAATTTTGTGGGAATATTCTGCGATCCAACTTCCGGGCGATTTCGCCCATTTAGTGCTTTTGTCTTTTCCCCTACATAAAAATCACCATTGTTAGCATCATCATCAAATTCTGCATCATTATAATCACTTTCAATACTTTCAGAATTCACTTTCATCAAATTCCTCAGCATTTAATTCCTCATTTCCATCACTAAACAGAATATTATGGACTAGTTCAAGGTCTTTTTGATTATTCAAATCTAAAAAAGCGTTTAGCACTCATCATGGAAAAATAAATAAAAAATCTATAAGAAATCTCAATACTTCCATTATTCATTCCATAAAGCTTCATTAGACAAATGTTATCGGGCGCATGTATCTGACAGATACAAATTTTCAAATAAGCTTAAAAACAGGAAATACTCCTACACTAAACTGGTCGTTACTGCATTCCAAAGGAGGGGGTGGCCAAATGGACAGATACTGATAAAGGTCAAGGTCGTGAGAAGAAGTTTAAGGGGACAAAAACAGAGATTTTGACACGCCTGTATCTTTCAGATCAACGTGCCCGATGGAGTGTTAAGCAAACAGCCGAAATCACTGGTTATTCTAAAATTCCTCATATATGCTGCAAGTAAATATTTTTAGTCTTTAGCTCTAGATTAGATCTTTTTATGCTGTTTTACCTAAATAAACATAATAGCTGGTTATGTCACCTAATAATATATGCATTTTCACACATGCTGAAAGTTTGTTTGCTGAATAAGGAGTAAATGAAAGTTTAATGTTATGCTTTTCCTTGTATATTGCAAGCGTTGCAATTACTATAATTCTTGAGAGTACCAGCAAATTAATAAACAAAAGAAAACAATATCAAAAGTAATAATAATAATAATAACTGAAAGGGTTCAAATTTTAAAGCTTAATATGGTCAATCAATAGAGATTATTGACAGACATGGCCCAAGTAGAATAGCAAAATATTTTATACAATATTAGATAAATATGCATTTAGATTAACATGAGAACATTATATGTCTTCTATATATTTAAAAAGAGAAAAAAATATGCTATATAATATATAAAAATATTTAATGTTTTTAGATATATCATGAATTAAATGCATTTTTATTTAAACCAATCTGAATAAAAAGTAAAAAAATAGTATTTTTACGAACTTCATCTGTTGCTTTTACATAGTTTAGTTTGTTCAATAATAACAGACAGATTAAATATGAAAGAATACTATCTTTTTTGAATGGCAAGAGACTCAAATGAAATGTGAAACAGGACAATGAAGAGAAACAATGCAAAATCGAGTTTCAAGACTAATACCTTTTTGCTCTAATTAAAAAAGTAATAAGAAGATTGAATGATTTAACACTTACTGTTGTACTACTATATTTACTATAGTATAATGAATGTTTAAAAATTTTTACATACAAAATCTGAATTTTGCTTTATACAGGTATATATTTATATACACTAAAACATTTTTCTTTTAGCTATCTGAAGTTGCTATAAGAATGAATGAACAATCATTGATATTTAAATTTTCCAAGAGTGATAGTGATAATTAAGAGTTACAATAACTTGAAAAATTTATACAACAAAACATAATCTGCCATAAAATAAAATGATTAATAATATATTCACAGTTTATTATTAATATATAACAAATTTATTAATATATAATTAGTTAAACATGCAAAAATCAAAATTGTAATGTAATAATAACATATTAATAGGCAAACAAATCATAGCAATCTATTTTATTGAAAATATCATGAAGAGAATAAACAGACAGAAAATAAAAAAAGCATTCTAACTCAATAAAATTTTAGTAATTGATAGGAAATTATCTCTATTATGATAGGTGAATTAAGTTAATTTTATTATATAATAAATTTAAGATCTTCATTGGGCAATTAAAATAAAATTTAAAGTGAATAGATGCAAGTTTGCAGTTCTTAAGCCTGTTTTGACTCACATTCAGGAAAGAAAGAACTTTCTTACTCAGTTTTCTAGTTGGGAAGTTTCTGAATGAATAATGTCCTGTTCAGCAATGAAGCTGCATCTAGTCTGATTATTCTGAGCACATAAGGATTTGGAGACTTCTGTGTCAAAGTTCCAATCCCTTATATTTTCAGAATATCAGGAAAAAAAGCAACTTTTTTTTTATTTCTGTGTGAGGTTACCTACTAATACACTTGGAACTCTATACAGAATTCAAGGCAATCTGGATGCAATTTGCTATGCGACATTCTTGAGTAAGGTGTACAGCGAAATGCTGGCTGTGATGATGCTGCTATCAAGGAAAAACTTCGAACTGAGTTCCCACGCAAAAAAGTAGTCTTCTATCAAGATAATGCAAGACCATGTCAGCATTCACTGGCTGGATTCTATACAGACTCGATTGGGATCTTTTGCCACACCCACCATATAGCCCCAACATCACTGTTTCAGACTTCTACCCTTTTCACACTTGAAGCTACATCTTGCTGGTGCTTTCTTCCATTCTGCATAGGATGTCCGAAATGAGGTTGATCTGTTTTAGGACTCGCGGCCACCAAGTTTCTAGGCCGAACGCTTTGAAAAACTACCAAAACACTGGCAGAAAATCATACATTTGGTAGGGATTACAATCCACACTAAAGATACTGCTTTCATATTTTCTTCCTAACTTTATTAAAAACATTTTTTGGCGGGAAATTTTGGTTACAACCAGATATTTTTAAACAATTTGTTGCTTATATTTGAAACACCAGCTGATATTATCATCCAAGATTCCTATTTTTAAAGCACAATATAATTTTATGTAATATATATCTTCTTAAGGTTAAGAATAATCACTTTTAGAAATGTCAAATTATGACACAAATATTCAATCCTATAGAGACTGAATTAATCAGTCAAATTATGGAAGTTGAATAGTTATGGAGGAAATTGCACCAGTGCAAGCTCTACAACCTCTTTTATAACACACTCTGATTACCTTATTGCTATACAGTAAATATACACTAAAGTTCGATGATTTGAGCTTTGGGAAGTCAGAAGTTTCGATGAAATGCTTGTTGGAATTAGAAATTTGAAGGCAAGTCAAAGTGAATATGTATGCTTTTCAAAAATTGAACTAATTCAAGGTCAGAATTTCAGTATTTTGATTGGGGGTGAGGGGAGTTTCTTCAGTTTTGGCTCATTGAAACTTGATTACACTTAGATTGATTTTTTCCTTAAAACTGAAAATCTTACTCATGATGTAAATTAAATTACGGTTGAAGAATCTGACAGTTTGAGTCTTGTTACAGCTTTTAGTAAAAATATATGAAATATGAGTTTTTACAGTTTTCTTACAATGAATGTTTTAAGTAGCTACGTATAGTTTACCCTCAAACTATTATAGATTATGTAAAAAATATGCTCTTTAACAGAAAATTACTGGTCTGAATTGTCAAAATAATATGATTTAGATGGTTTGCGTCCAATATGAAGATTGAGTCCCTCAGTGGGATAGAATAAACACTACCTTCTGTTGACCAGAAAAATTTAGGAAATGCTTTATTTCTTTGTCATTTGATAAAGAAATTTTAACTCAAAAATTTGTTCTTTGGGCTTTGCTTTAAACTTTAGTTATTGTTAAAATATCCAGAAAACAAAAAGCTATCTCCCAAATGAAATGTATTTAGTATTTGATGCAACTAAATTTTAAAAAAAATTTTGACAAGAGTACAAAATTTACGAAAATGTAATATTCAAAAAATCTTAATTTTCTGTGTCAGTGTTGAAAACAAATGTAGAAACAAATTTAGAAGGAAAGAATGAAATTGTAATGAAGAACCAATATATTGCACAAAAATCCACTTCAAAGAAGTTGTGTGATAAAGGAGAAAATACTTGAAGGTTTACAGCAGCAAATGGGCCTGTGCTAATGGAATAGAACCAAGAAATATCATCGCAAGTGAAAGCAAATAGCAAGTGGTTTTCGACTTAAACGGTTGTACAAATTTAAACTACGTCATACATCATCACAACATATCATAAGAAGAACCTTAAGATATCTCATCCAAATTTGTTGAAGATTCAAGAATTTATCCAAGAACATATGTGGTTATCATCTAATTTGTTTTCCTTTCATTTTCTTCTGTCAAAATGCCCAACCTCTAAAGACATTCAGTATCATGGTAAAAGTCGCTTCCCTCTTTTACTCTGACCAAACATTGATGAAACAGAAGATAATGTCTTTACTTATATGAATGTCAGAAATATCAATTTCTTTCAAGAATGTTTGTGGTATGCAACAAAAAAAACGAATAGTTTTTAATATATTTGCAGAATGCCTGAAGAAAGATAAGAAAAAGGTATTAAGAAGGAAAAATAATTTTTTTTTATGTAAACTTTAGTATCTTTTAAATTATTTTTTTTAAATCTTATGGTATTTGCAACATTTTAAGAAACTGAAAGTATGATGATAAAATTGTGTAAAACGATGGCACAATGATAAAATTGTGTAAAACAATGGCACAATGATAAAATTGTGTAAAACGATAGCACAATGATAAAACTGTGTAAAGCAATGCATGCATCACATCCTAAATTAAAATATACATCTTTCTCATTTACACATCTTTTCTGAACAGCCTACTGAAAGATATATTAATTGCACTTTACCGTAATTTCCTTTTCAATATATGCAGTTTTCAAATGCACTGTAATCTGAGTCACTAAGTATTCTTTTGAAAGAAATGCAGTTTAAATAAATAAAATAAAATTCTCAAAAATTTAAATTAATAAATATACTTAGAATAAACAGTTCAAATGAAAAAAAAAGTCCTAAATAATTTTCTCAAAAAATGTAATTTAAACAATTAAAATGAAATTCTGAAAAGGAAAAAAAATTATCTTAAAATAACAACTATGAGTAAAAAATAATATAAAGAAAATTATTTGAAAGAATAAATGATGCATCTTCTTTTCTGCTCGTACCCAATGAAAAGAAAAGGCGAAAAGGTTACCATAAATTAAAGAATTTTTGCCAAGTGAATTATTCTTCACACAAACTGAAAAAAAAGTGTGCCAAGATAAATTTTTGAATTTCTCAGTAAATTTCTCACCAAGTTTTAAAAAATTGTTAAGCATAATTTGAGTCATAAAATCTAAAAAAAAATTGGAATATAATTTCAGGAAAAGTCCGATTTTGTGTCAAAATACATATGTTAGAATAATGGTATATATAAATCTAATGTATATCCTATGTTGCACTTTAAAGACATGAAAGATAAGAGTTGAATTTTGTCAGTCGGCCTAATAGAATGAGAAATATATAGCTGTCATCCCCCCCTTTTTTTTGACCGAGTGTACATATATTTTTCTGCAGATCCATGTGTAAGCCATCCATAATAATTTTTCTACAATATTTCTATGATAACTTTGCTGTACATAATTTAAATATCTTCACGAAATTTTATTCTTGTTAAATGTGAACTTTCATTTTCAACAGCTTCTTCAGCAACATTTGAATCATTTTCAACTGCATTCAAAACTTTCTTTATTTTTCCCTTCACTTGCCCTAGAAAATATAAGGTGTCATTCTATTCTAGATGCTAAGATTGCTGTTTTAGTAATGAGGTGTAGGTTTCATTCTGTTCTAGATGGTAAGACTGCTGTTTTAGTAATGAGGTGTAGGTTTCATTCCTTCAAGGCCTGATTATTTGCATTATCTCTTTCTTCCCTGACAGATGAAGTATCAGTTTATTACTAATTCAGTGCTCTCAGCAATACGATGGTGAAATGGTTTGGCTGTGTTGGCCATCTCGTGGGAATTTTTCACTCAGCTACTCATGACTGATTAAAATCACTATAGAAAATATCATTGCTTCCCTTGAAGAAAAAAATTTAAATACCGATGGCCCAACAGGGTTCGTACACATTTCTGCACACGGAAATTAAGGACTTTTAAGGACCATTAATGAGACAAATTAAGGACCTATGAGCAAAAGGGAGCTGAATAAATTCAATTGAAGATATTATCTATGCCTGAATTTCATTTTTGTAATACCATCCTAAAAATAAAATAGATCCCTAAGTAACTAAACATGAATTAATTCACATAATTGTTAATAAGTTTGAGAATAAAATAAACTATGATTAAATATTAAACACTTAAATATTTTACACTTATGATAGTTGGTTACATTTGCACATTTATATCGTTTTCCTTCTCTTTTAAGCATCTTTTCTAACAATTAGAGATTAGTCTCAATATGCAAACCAATGCTCTCACTAGTCCTGCATGCTTCATCTCCTAACTTGTCAACCTCTCCATAATGTATCTATGAGGGTTTAAATGATCTGGTAAAAGTTAAATAGTCCAAAACCCCTGACAGATATGAAGTATACTATCGCTATGTCTGAAATTAACTACAATATCAGACAAAGGTTTAAATAAGCCTCTTATTTGAAAAGAACATAGAACATAAAGGCATGTTCTGATGCTAACAAAATCAATTACAGCTCACGGTGATGTAATTAAACAAGAACAGTCAAATTCAAACTAATAATGTAGACTAGGGGTCAAAGATTATACAATTTAATTGTAATTTAATCTGGCTCAATAACTCTATCATATGAGGAAATAGAAATGGGAAATTATAGTAAAGGTTGAAATCATAAACAATTGGGTAATTTACATAATAATAACTGCACATCTCTTTGAAGAATAATTTCCTTTATGTACTCAGTTTCTTTCTTCAACACGTTTCCTAATCTTAAAATTGCCAAAATGTTGAAAAGTCGCCAAATTTAGAACCATTTAATAAAAAAATTCATCCCCAAAAGCAAAAAGTTGTTTAAGAGCTCTTTACTAGAAAAAATGAATTTCGAGATGCTTATGTTTCACTTCTTGCTTAGAAACTCGTGTATCTCATCATTTATATTAGAAATAGAAACAAATTATAACTCATGAGCCCATTCAAAAGATTACTATATATACGGCAGTGAATTGCCAAAAATATTCCTCAAAGTGCTAATTCACACTCAAAATGACGGTCATAAAAACAGACAGAAATTTCAGATGATTAAAATTAAGGACCTTCTGTTGATTTTGGCCAAAATTAAGGACTTTTAAGGACCAAAAATCGATTCCAAAAAACCTAAGGACTCTTAAGGACCATACAAACTCTGCCCAATTACTTTGTGAAGAAATCCCAAGAACTCTCTAACATTTTTGGTTACTGTCAATGGAATTGGCTGAAGCATTAGCCTGCATAGGAAGGTAGTATGTAAAAAACATGGTTTGGTGTATACAAGCTCTTTCAGTAGTCACATTGCCTCATGTGTAATGAGCTCACTAACGGCCTTTAATAAATAGTGCTAAATAAAACACCAAAAATTTAAGTTCAAGGCCATCACAAATGATGATCTTATGTAAAACCTCATTTAATTTGTTAAATAATCAGTTAAGTACTGCAAACATTTGCAGGAATAATCATTAAATGATTTGTTCTAACAGCAAAATCACAGCTAGCATATGCTCAGGGTCACTTACGATGAAGCTTCTGAAAATTAGGTTTGAAATAAAGCACATCTACTGAAGAGGTTGTAAGACCTTCATTTAACCAATTAATGTGTTAGAAAGTCCCCCCTCCCACCTTTTTGTGTGTGTGTGTCTAATTATAAATTTTGCATTCTCATGTCTTCCATTAAATATATAAAATATTCCAGGATGAATCAGAACTTTATTTTGAAATGAAAAAACTTGAAACATTCGAGATCACAGGAACCAGCAGCTCTTTTCATGTTTGTACTATGTAGAACAGTTTTAATTAAAACCTTTAAAATCAAAATCCCATATAATAATTAATAAAAACCCACATCTTTACATGAACTGAGGAATTCTCCCCCCCCCCAATATAATATGCCATCACACATCATATATCATTCTCCTGTCAAAACAGTAAAATTCACAAGAAAGAAACACCATATCTTATACCACATGCCAGACATATATACATTTCAGCGAGTTATAACACTTTACTTAAGCATGCAATGAACACTCACCATGGCTGTCAGACATATAAGATGTCCTTTCATATAGATCATCAGTAACATTATCATCATCCACATAGTTCATCAGTTTGGGCGGAATGGATGGTGTAAAGGCAGTTATTTCTGGACTGAAATGGGAATGGGATAAAAGTTATTCATTTTATTTTTGACAACACACAGATGACAGAAAATCAACAAACAAAAAACTCTCATCCCTTTCACCAATTACAAGTACAAAGCCTGACGAAATTAGAAGGGCTATGAAAATCCCATGCATTGTTTCATGAAAAAACAGTTGAAATAATATTATATCAAAGCATTTATTACAATCATTTCTGTGACAGTTGCTGTCACATGATAAATATATTATGATATTCGAAACATTGAATTACTTACATATACACAATTTTATTATGCATAACAATAATACAAAAGTACAACTAATATATTAGAAGATAAAATGCTAAATAGAAAAGAAAGAAATACAAGGTGTTTTAAAAGAAAAGAACAGGTTTTTCTTTTAGTTTTTGTCACACAAAAATGTTTCACATACTACTTGAAAGGAAAAGAAGGCAGGTTATGTCCTCGTGATCATTTATATTCAGAGTGCTATCAGAACACTTATCTCCAGAACACAACTGTTCTTTACCTGCAGCTGGTGGAAGTGCACAAAATGACGATGTTGCACTCTTAGCCCCTCAAATCTCCTAATCTCAGCCCCTGGATTTTTGAATCTTTAGAGATACATCAAAGATAGTACATAAGTACTGCTTCTACTGACCACATTGGCAAGCACCTCGGGAGCAAATTGTTGCAGTGGTGCATTCCATAGCCATTGAATAGCTAGAATAAGTGCGGCACAAAACTGACCTCCAGTCTAATATATACCAAGTGAGCCCAATTGTGAGACATAGAAGATAAAGATTCAAGGAACAGAATACTGAGACTATAGTGGCTTTCATTTTTTCCCCTCCCCATATTACAGTAGTTTACCTGATTACAGAAACTTTAGAAAACAGTGATTTGTACTTTTTTCCCCTTCCTTTTCTTTATTTGAGAATAAATGTGAAATTTTCATTTTATACTTTTTATTTTTGTGGAACTTCCATATTTTAATGCAAAAATTATGTATTTTTGCTTATTCTTCTTTCTTGTGTGCTTAAGTACCCTTGAATTAACCATGATCATTGTTCCCAGTAAGTTGAGAGTTGACTAAAATTAGTAATTCTGTTTGTATTTATGGTCTCTAATTGGAAGCTGTGATAATAACTGTAATTTCTGGTCATTAAATATATGGACTTCTGTCTACAGTACTCAGTATACTGCTGTTTATGATAACTTCACAATATTAATAGCATTGTATTATATTGTTATTATTATTGCTATATGACCACATGTAGATACAATTTTTATAATAAACAAATAAAAATATTATGTTGCTTATTACATGTATCTGTAATATTTTGCAAAGAAATAATAAATATTAAAGAAATTAACTTTTTGAACACATAATTTATAGACTAATCAGTTATACATAAACAGTTATACAATATCAAATAATTTATATATATATGTGTGTGTGTTTAAGATATAAAATATGACAGAAATTTATTAATAAATTAAACTTAATTAGAACAAATTGGTAGCAGTCCTTCAAAGTACTAATTTTAATCCAAATACAATCCCCTTTTCAACGCATCTATACTGCATCACTGACGTCACTCCTTTTATGTTTGTTCATGCTTGATTATTTCCCACCTGATTGCCGCTCTGCAGTATCTTCTTTTGTTTTCAAATGTAACTGTGCATATCAAATTCGCATTCAGCATTCATAGTGTTGCACCAATTAAGAAGATATGTGCTATTAAATTCATCATCCAAAAATAAAATGATGTTTTAAGCATCAAGCCAGTTGTGACTTTTTTCAAGTCATCTACAATGCAGCAACTGTCAGCTAGCTTCTATCTCCAGCCCCACTACAGCTGCTGTGCAATTGTTTTCATCTTCTGCCAAAACTACAACATTACACATACATATACATATGTGTGTACCTATAAAAAGAGCAGAAAAGCCCATATTACAAAAAATAATTTAAACAAAGGTGGCAATGCTAGAGCAAAACGTTTCAGTAGTACTGCTCCACTAAAAACAAAATCCAATACCAAAGTACTATTATCTAAAATCGTTGGACATAATCTCCCATTTAGCATGCAGTACATGTACTAAAAACAAGAACACATTATTTTTCTAGTAAATCTTCTTGGTAATTTTAGCTTAATACAGTCAAAAGTCGTTAATTCGGACATCCATAATCGGGAATGATCTATAATCCGAACCTCAAAGCTACAAACTTTCTGCGCATGCGTCACATTGACGCATGCGCGTAAGACCTTTACGGCTGCGAATATGCGTGTGTGCATGCCCAAAAATACATTTACACATGCGCGTTTAATGTATAACAGACAGTATAAGTTAAGCTAAAATTATCTAATTCAGTTAATGTTGCAGATTGCGTTGTTCCTTAATCTTCGAATTGGATCCGGCTTATTATTTTTTGCAGACTGTTAGAGCAATTTTATAAAAGTAAGCCTGAACTTTCGATTATGTCAAATAGAATTTCCGATATATATTTACTAACATGTAAAGGATCTACAAAGCGAAAGTATGTTTTGAAGTCCATTAAATAAACAGTGGAATTGCTGCAAAAAATGGATAAAGGCATATCCTTTGTTTATCTAACCATTCCGAAATCTGTTTATCAATTTCACGCTGCTCTGTGGCCGGGGAGGGGAGGGGACGCCGCGGCGCGCAATGAATTGGAAGTTGATCTGTCAGCACTATCCTTATCTTCAGGGCAGATGTTTTTATTTTATTTGGCTTATAATTCCTTACTAAATGTATTTACTAAATGTAGTATTTCATCTCGATGTACTCCATCTTTGATATGATTTAAATCAAATTCCTCGTCATTATAATTCGCTTCCGATAGCGAAGAAAGTGACACAGAGGTTATTGAAAACGAAAAAATTCCGATTGACAAATTAGTCGGTATTCTCGACACAGCAATTATAGGACTTGAACAGTGGAACTTTGTAACTGAATGAGAAATCATGTCTGTTTATATAATTAAAGAGAAAGTATTATCACATAAAAAACGAAGCAACTTAAACAACTTACATTGAAAGAAATGTTTAATAAAGTAAACAAATAAATATTAAGCTTTTTTTTTTTTTGTAAATTTTGATACCCTTTAGATCATAATTGTTCTTTATTTCATAAATTACGGTTTCATATTTTTAATTTTATAATTTCTGCATGACATCTTACCAGATTTAAGCTGATGATCTATAATCCGGAATTTCCGAAGTCCCGACGAGTCCGGATTAACGACTTTTGACTGTATACATAATAATATAGTCTTCTACTGATAGTATTGAATGTGACAAATAATGGATCCATAAGCAGAATATACATATCAAGGTCAGTGGTGACTACGTTGTAAAGCTGAATAACTAAGTTTTAAAAACAGACTAAAAATGGTAACCTCAAACCAAATTCTTCGGTGTCATACCTGCCAAAAATGGCATAATTCACTGCAGAAATGTTTTTCCAGCCGAGATGTGTCAAATGCTCGGAATTACACATAAGTTCTGAATGCTCAATCAAACACAAAACTAACACCCCTAAGTACAGTAACTGTTTTGGTTTACATCCAGCATCCTATAGGAGTGTCCAAAATTTCCTAAAATTGAATAAACCAGGAATAAGTTTTTCCGAGGCAGTAAGTGCCACTTAACCCCGAAATTCCAGTAACCCACTGGAAGTTTCAAGCGATAACAAGAGTCATTCTGCTGAATTTCCTCAATTAAAACCAAACTTTCAAAGGAAAAACAGTAACAAAAATGCATTAAGTACTTTTAATAAAAATAAGAGTAAATCTGAAATTCTTGAATTTTTCAAAAATCTTTATGAAATCCGTAATTTCTTTTGACATAATAAGCTAGTGAAAATGACACATATTTTTTAATAATATGTGCCCAAACTTAAATCTCATACTGGTGATAGAATGTTCAAGTTCAAGAGACTATTAGTGTTATTATTTGGAATGCAAATCGTCTGTCCACTAAGTTTAATGAACTTGGGGATTTTATAAAGAAGCAGAACCCAGATATTCTGCTCATACAAGAACACATGCTTAGCTCGCGCCAAACGTTCCAAGTTAGGAATTATGACAGCTACCAGAAAAGATTGATTGAATATCAACATCGAGTTTCATATGGAATTATGATTTTAGTCAAGCACTCCATTTTGCACTTTGAAATAACATTACCATAGCTTTCACCCACAAAAGCTATCAGGATCATACCAAACACTCAACGAGTTCATCATCATCTATCCACCAGAACACAAGATTGCAAAAGGATATTTGTACAGATTTAACTGCAATATGCCTTATAAACAATCTCATACTAGGTGCAGACTTTAACCAGTTCAGGACCAGCGGCGTGTATATGCGACAAAACGATTTCACCCATACCAACTCAGCGTCGCATATATGTGAAGAGCTCTGATCAATCTCTACAGCCCAGCATGACGTATATGTAACTTGAAAATGGAATGATTTATTTGAATTTTTAAATGTCAGTAGATGGTGCTAAATGATAATAGTTTTCACAAAGGTTAAGTCATGTGGCTTTTGACTTTCATGCATGAGCATCAGTTTCTGTTCTGTGCTTCTGGTTTTGACAGATTTATTGGTGTAAGCAAACTGGGAATCACAGCTCTTTAAGCTAAAGGGACACTGGCATGTTTGTTTATTTTGGTAGGAATTTCGTTTTTTCATTGTCTTTTTTTATTCTTTGCATTTTTCGTTATCAGAATATGGGGAAATGCATCCAGCTTAATGTGTTTGTTTTCCCCTTCTTTTTTGGGGGAGGGGGAGAATGTGGAAAAATGCATCTATCTAACTATAGCAGGTGTAACATCATCGATTTCCAGGATGGAAAACCTCAGACCAGTTCTCCATCTTTATATTTATTTTAAAACTTAACATAGACTGTCTTGGTTAATTAAAAAGTAACTTTATTACAAAAGGGGAAGATATCAGCTTTCCCGATGTGTGATGCATCTTACTTGCTCAGCGAAAAAAGCCTTCATTGTCCTGCATGACGATTCTCATTTTGAATTATTCCACACACAGCAGAATCATTAAACTGGAATTTAATTACATACAGATAATTATTGCTTAATTTTCTTTTACATTTCATATTTGTAATTTTGTTTCAATGTATATAGTACTTCTTTTCATGCTTATAGTTAGAATTTTAATATTTCGCATGTTTCATTTATTTCTATTAATGTGACATTCTTTATATTAATACACTTTAAGAATTAATATATTACATATGTAAGTTCAAAATTGAGGTCATTATATTGAAATGCTGATTTTATATGAATTTTTTTTGTAGAAGTAGGCTTAACTGCTAAAAATGCGTGGGCCAGTGGTGGTCCATTTCAGAGGGTTCGGTCCTATGGCTGTGCTTCGTTCTCCACCTGCTGGGCCTCAAGGGGTTAATGCACACCACAAAAATTGGAACTGCATTAGTAACTGTTGCTATGAATACATTTTAAATTATTTTGCCTCAAAGGTTAACCTTTTTATAGCAGCTCCTCAAACCCCAACACACTATAGCTCTGATAGCAGTAGTATTATTGACTTTGTCATTAAAAATATTTAAAAAATCACAATCCTGTGATTGTGGAAGTTAATATCAGTAGCTAGAGTAACACAAGAGCTCTTATTACTAAATGAACCAAAGCTCTCAACACACTCAGTACATATTATGAACAGTAGACCGACCGCAGGGAAGACTTATAAGCTTTACTGAAAAATTTCACTATGATATGCAGCAAGCAGTGGCAGAAAATAGCAAAGAAGTTCCAATTACATCAATTTCGAGAGACCCTGAAATAAAAAAACTTCTTAAAAGAAGGAAACAAGCTAGAAACACCAGGCAATTTTTAATTGAATGTCCATATTTTATCTCATTTAGATTGAAGTATTTTAATGACTCTGACTTGCTACTTGACTGCATAATCAGGAAAGAGGTCAATTCTAATTTATTTCAGTACCTGAGAGAAACTGGTTTTTGTTGTTTATCCTTATGTACATATAACCTATAAGTTTATAAGTACAATCTGAAACATATAAGCTTTTGCTGCTATATCTTTTAGTGATATATATTTTAACATATCCCATGTTTTATGACTTTACACTTGTTTTCACATTTGATTTCATTATCTGAGTAATATGTGATCTCATCCCAGCTTTCATCATTTTATTAGTTCTTTGGATTTTATACATTTCTTGTGGTTTTTAATCTTGTGTATTTGTCTATAATGTCTGCCACTTCTGATACTTGTGCGTGAAAGCATCTGACGTGTTTCCAGTACATATAAACTATAACGTTTTGTGCTACGAAATCCACTACTATTACTACAGTCACTAAAGCACTTCAAAAATGGAAAATACAAATCAGTCTGGATAAATCTGAGGCGATACTTTCACTAGAAGAAGAAAAATTTTGCAAACTATCAAAATGTATGATACTGTTATCCTGTGAACTAAGCAAATACTTTACTTGACAAAAGATTAACAAGGAAACCCCACCCTACACACATAATTTCTAATTTCTGAGCAGCTAAACATAAACTAAATTTTTTGAAACTCTGTTTTATAGATAGATAATAAGTTTTCCTTCATAAGACCATGTTGTGACCAATTCTCACTTATGCAGTTCCTGTATATGCCAGCTAATAAACATGAAAAAATTCCAAATTTTACAAAATGTTATTCTGAGACAAATTACAAATAGCTGATGGTTTATTTGCAATCTTAAAAATCATGAGGAATTTAAAGTGTTACAAATCCAGGACCTATATGAATAAATTAAAGCTCAAACTATGATTTCAATGCTGTGAAATAATAACAGAAGACCTGGTGCTATACTTAGAGTACTCAATTAACTATCATGATCTTTACTATTATTTAATGCAACATCTAAGTTATATCTTTATCATTAATTTTTGTGTTTAGTGCTTGAACTTGGTAAATTTTCTCTATTTTTAACTGCTTAATGGTATGCTAAGTTAACTCCTTCCTCTCTTTCGGCTCAATCAATCCAAAATTTATGTATGGCTCTGAAACTCTGTCCACCTCAATCTTGCCTACAAACAGTGCAGTCACATTTTTTACTCTTGCACTACCTCCTACAAGGCATCTGACCAGACTCTCCCTGGTATTCAGTAGAAGGGCTCAATCACCACAGCAGTTGCTTTCATGCTTGGCTCTAAGAAGGGCTTTGCACTGAAATGATTCCATTTCATGTTGCTATAATTACTCAGGCATTTTTTTTTTTTTTCACAGTTGACTTTGATCTTTGCTCTACAAGGAATCTTATTTACTATAAGGGATTCTTATGACTTTCATATAAACTTCACGTCTGCTTCACAAAAGAAATACGATGCTTATCAAAGTTACGGTTCAAAAGCTTGTGTGTGTTCAACACAGGATAGGGCACTGCCCAGGATCCTGCCTCTGCGACTTTGTCACCTAATCAAAAATAGTATCAGGTAATTAAATTACAGCTGGAAAATTATCACACTTCAGAATTCCTCTGAAAATAAAATACTTTATATTTTGTAACATCAAGTGTCACATTGCTTTGTATTTCATTTTCCAGCTGGTGGATTCAAGACCTATGGCTACTTTAAAAGTCATACATAAAATTTAATGATTTCAAGCAATAATTATAAAAACATAATGGAAAAAAACATATCAACCTTTACTTTATAAAGAGAATGTAATATACATACCTTGGTGTCTCAGCCCATGCTTTTCTTGGCCTATGTTCTGGCTCAGACACCTGAATCTTATGATTGAAACTGTCATATGGGCGGATATGTGAAGTAGATGTACCATTTATACGAGCAACTGGCTTTGACACTTTCTTCTCCCAGCTCTCCAGAGCTTCTCGTGTCATCTGTGGTACAGTCTGTCTGGCAAATCTTTTGCTTGGTGACCTGAAACTCAGATAATGAAAGAAAGGAAAAATATAAAATTGCCATTTAGAAAGAAATGTCATCTCATACTATTAACATGGAATTCTTGAACAGAAATAAAAACAAGAATGTCTATGTTACTTGGAGTTAACTAAAGCTAATTATCATTTAAAAATTTACATTTCAAGTAATATAATCTTAATGATTCTATTCATTCTGTTAAATGATAAACACATAATAATGAACAAAATATTTTGCTCTTACACAAAATATATCTTATAATAAAGCTGAATTCATGTAGAAATTATTTCTAAGAATGACTACATCCCAAGAGATAAATAATAAAGAAAAAATTCATATTCTACTTGAGAGAAAAATTAATTATATATCAAACACACAAAAATGTCTGTAAACTTATATCTATTTTATTTATGTCAAAGTCATATAACTTGAATAATAAAGCTGTTTGACTTCATTTAAAAAATTCAAACAAGAATTATTTTCTAATGACTCATGATTAACATGCTTAATACAGATATAATTAGAGCTTCAAACTAAATTATATTTGGGTTTAAATTATATAACGAAAATTTATTCAAACCACGTCTTGATAAACTTTCTTAAAACTTATAGGATAAAAGATTTTTAAATAAGCAGTACTAGCTAACCTAGCTTTGTTATCACACTTTCAAATTAAACTTCACCAAACATGGAACAACTTTTCCCTGTCTGTGATAACAAAAACACAACAGATATTAAATTAACTTTAAATAACATACATCCCACTTATTTTCCCACTATTAGCTATAATGTAATACTCTACCAATTCATAAAAGTGAGAAGCAACAACCTCTGTTAGACATAGATTTTTAGCATAGAAACTCTACTGATTTCGAGGGTGAACGAAGTCCCTCTTCATCAGGAGCAAAGAAATCTGCAACTGGAAAACCAAGTTATGAACATATTTATACCCTAAGGAAGTCGAGAGAGATGAGACAGTAGTGTCATCTGTTAATACAAATAATAATGAAAATTGAAAAATTAGGATAATACAGATTTTAAAGCATTAGGTACGATTGGATTAAAATCATTAACTAAACATGGTAAATTTTTGTGAATGTGAAAAGCTTCAAGAAAATCTAATTCTCCAGTGAAAGAAGCTTTCTGGTTAATTTATGCAGACACAAAGTCAAAATTGTGATTAAATTTCCAACTATGATTTGCAACTAAAGATTTGTAAATGTCGCCTTTTCGGACATAAAATTCATGTTCCTTAATGTGAAACCTTAATGCTCTTTTGGTGTGGCCGATATATCTTGAACCACACTGACAAGGTATGCTATAAACTCCACAAGAATTGAAGTCAGAAATAGTATCTTTAAGAACTGAACTATTAACTTTATTGACAGCCGAGAAAAATGACTTGAAAATTGAACTTCTGGAGAATTCTTGCAATTTTGTAACTGACAAAGTGATGAAAGGGAAGCACAACTAGGTTAATTAATGTCATTTCAAACAGCATAATGTTTTTTGGATGGAAAGAGGAAACCTTTTTAACAGCTTTATCAATGACCACAGAAGGTCCTTTTCGACCTATAGTTTCAAACTTAAGAATGGCATCTTATCCTTTGGCCAAATATTTAATTTCCATATTTTCTCCTTAACTTTCAAATAATATTTACACTGTAAAAAATTCTTTTGAGGTAATTGAACTTAAAGATATTTCTTCCCTGCACTCCATTATAGTTCCGTTAGATGTTAAATATCTTTTTACTAATGTTCCAGTTAAAAGATCCCTTAAATACCTTGCAACTAGGCTTTGAGAATTCCATTTCTCGCATACTGAAACTGAAGAGCTAATTTCACTTACTAAAATCTCTTTGAGTCAAACTCACTTTGTTTTCCAAAATAAATATTATAGCAAAATTGAAGGATTAGCTATAGGTAATCCCTTCTCCTACACTTGTTGACATTTACGTGCATTATTTTGAAGTCAAATTATTTGAGAAATTATCTTTTCATCTCTTGATTCGCTACATTGACACTTTTGCACTTTTTGATGGCAACAAAGAAGACTTATCATATATTTTATCTATTATTAATTTGATTAATCCATCCATCCAGTTTACATTTGAATCTGAATATGGCAATACTCTTCCCTTCCTTGATAATCTTATAATCTGCAATAAATCTGATTTCAATACTACCATTTACAGTAAACTTTTTTCTGTTTGTTTGCCTCCCCATGCTAAGTCATGTCACCAAGGTTAAAAAAAAAAAAAAAAAAAAAAAAAAGAGAGAGAGGCTTCTTTTTACTATTATGTTTTTCTCACTCTCAAGTTTGTTCCTCTAAATCTCTACTTGATAATGAACTCAATTATTTGAAAGCAACTGCTACTGACAGAGGCTTTTCTCCCATGGTCATTGATAAAGCTCTTCAAAATTTCCTCTCTTTCCATCCAAGAAAACATTCCATTGTTAGAAATAATGTTAATAACCCAGTTGTGCTTCCCTTCCATCCTTATGTCAGTTACAAAATTGCAAAAATTCTCCAGAAATTCAGTTTTCAAGTAATTTTCTCTCCTATCAATAAAGTTCAGGGTTCAGTTCTTAAAGATACTATTTATAACTTCAATTCTTGGGAAATATATAGCATATCTTGTCAGTGAGGCTCGAGATATATCGGCCAAACCAAAAGAGCATTAAGATTTCACATTAAGGTACATGAATCTTATGTCTGAAAAGTGAAATTTCTAAGTTTTCAATTGCTAATCATAGTTGGAAATTCAATCATAGTTTCAACTTTGGGTCTGCAAAAATTATCCAGAAAGCTTTTTCCTATGAAGAATTAGATTTTCGTGAAGCTTTTCACATTCACAAAAAATTACCATGTTTAATTAATGCTTTTAATCCAATCGTACCTAAAGCTTTTAAAGCTCTATTATCCTAATTTTTCAATTTTCATTATTATTTCAACTAACACATGGTTCTATTCTCTCATATCTCTTGACTTCTTTAGGGTATAAATCTGTTTGTAACTTGGTTTTCCAGTTGCAAATTTCTTTGCTCCTGATGAAGAGGGACTTTGTTCACCCTCGAAATCAATAGAGTTTCTATGCTAAAAATCTATGCCTAACACAGGTTGTTGCTTCAGCATGTTTCCCTTCTGTCTTGACGCTACCAATTGTTTTCTTCAAAGTACAGTAGGGCACCAATCATTTTTATAAACTAAGACTATTTTAATAAACAAAAGTCTGGATATGTGCGGTGTGTGCAGATTAAATACATAGTTACTATAATGTAAGTGATAATTACATAATATAAACAGTTATTCAAAATATTGCAGGTTTTTGATAAATAAGTGATATTTTTTGTTTCAAGAATGAAAATTCACAAGCAAAAAGCAAGCCAACATACACATAAACAAATCCCTTGTTATTAATTATTCAAACACAAAATAATGAGAAATACCTTTTATAAGCAATAAATTTATTTTACACACAAAGTTTTTGATATATGTTATATGTTTATGTATTTCAGAAATAACATTCTAGGGTTAATTCATTAGCAGATAAGCATGAGAAAAATAAGGAAACTTTTGCTAAAATATTTGGATTATTCAATAAATCAAAACTTTTATTAAAATTCCAAGGAGAAGCTTTCAAAGCAGGGTTCTCACCCAGGAAGGGGCTTCTCCTTCCCAGGGAGGCTTACAGTTTCAGGGGATAATGTAGTCAGCCTTTTAGTTATCTGCTAAGTATTTAGTTTGAGTTTATGAATATAAAAAATATTTTTATTCAAGTTTGGGTATTTGTTAACATTTTCTACACTTTTTCCTGTTTTAATTTATAAAGTGCAATAAAAAAATAATCTAAATAAGTAAATGTAAATATATATTTCAAATTTTGGAAAGAAAGGGGGATAATTGTCTAGCAATGGTAAAAGAAGTGCAAAGAACAAAAAAGTTTGAAAACCCCTGTTTTAGGCTATTAAAATTCTAAATTCTGGAGTGATATCTGAAAGAAAAGAAAATGTAGCTAAAAAAATGAAATATTATTAGACTTAAAAATTTCAAAAGACCTAATACCTAGTAAATATTCTCTCTGTTCTAGCTTTGTGCTTTCCATCTTCTAATGTTTGATATTCAGTTCTTCCACTGAAAGTAATCGAAATTTGTTTTAATCAAGATCCTTCACTAATATTTAGTTATTGTAAAAAATTAACACAAATAATATGCCTGCGAGAATAAAAAGAAAAATCTTATAATTTCTAATTTAAAAAATCAGCTTTGTATTCAATTTTTACCCATTTCTTTTTTATGGAAAATAGTCAGTTTTTCTTAATTTGCCATATTACAAAACAGCACATAAAATATAAATGCAAGGCACGAATGAAAAATTTAGCCTCTATTTCTCTTTCCCAATTGACAACACTCTAATAGAGTTCATAAGGTTCACTACACTGTGTCTAAATCTGCAAGTGGAAAACCATAGCCTTCAATATGAAGTCACAATGAGTAGAACCTAATATGTTTTATAGTGGTGGATGACAAAATTAAACTACACTCTGAAGTGAAAACATAGGCCTCCCGACCAGTATAGTGGTTAGTGACACTGATTGCCATACCAACAAACTCAAGTTCAACAAACTCAAACTATTCATCCTAACTTGATCCATAAATTTCGCATTCTTTTTAGTAAGAAGTTGCAAAATTTACAACAGCAAAGCAGTGTGTTAAAATGTTAGTTCCACTAAATTAATGTTAGTTTCAAATAATGCACAGCTAGAGTCTGCAAAGAGCGAACTGCAAAAAACTGCACACTACTGCAGAAGAGCTTATTCTACCAGCTGCTCTCAAATATTGTTAATATTGTGTGGGAAAAGTTGTGGAAAAATTCATTTCTAAAGTACCTCTATCCTAAAACATTATTAGTTGAAGAATTTAGTGTATAGCTCAGGATCTCAATGTTCAGTTGATAGAGAAAATGAAATGAATTTGATCAGCAATTAGATGAGGCTACTGACAGTAACAAAGATGCAAATCTTATATGTCATGTATGAAGATCTTCTGTTCTGCAAGAGTATTATTGGAAGCACAAAGGCTCGATTTGTTCAAAACGCTTGACAAGTTTATAATGGAAAATGATTTAGTTTGGAAATAGTACGTCGGTGTATGTACAGATGGCATTCCATCAGTGTCCGATCAGTATGAAGGACTGCAGACACTTATTTGCAGCAAAACACCGCATGCTGTGTGGATGACAGGGAAACACTTGCACTGAAATTGCTCAGTGCTCAGTTGAATTTGGCATTGAAATGTATCATAGATATCATAAACTACATAAAAACAAGACCGCTGAAAGCAAGCTTTAAAAAAGTTATGCTAGGACATGGAAGTTGAACACACAGCCTTTTGATGTTCATGGTGGCTTTCGCGAGGCAATGTTCTGTCTCGTGTGTTTGAACTGCATCAAGAAATTCACACTTTTCTGCAAGAAGAAATTCAAGTATCGCTAATTTTTTTCCCCAAACCAGACATTTTGCTGAAACTAGCATAATTGTGACATACTTGAAAAACTAAGTGTTTTGAATCTGCCTCTACACAGCAATACATGCACATCTTGAAACTTGTAGAAAAGATTTCAGTGTTTAGGAAAAATTGCAGTTGTGGATAAGAAAAGTGAGTGACTGTGATGCTCGAGACTGTTTTTCAAAATTGCACCAATACACAGCTTCTAATAAAAGTCGTTATTCTGCAGGAATTTCTGCTCCTTTCATGGAACATCTCTCAAATCTCACTGATTGGTTCACAAAATACTATGTGGAAGTTAATGTAGAGAAATTTATATTAATCTAAGATTCTTTTCATTTTTAAGTACCTCAGTACTTTACTTTGCAAGACGAAGAGAGTTTAATTGAATTCTTTTGCAATAACATTCTAAAAAAAAATTTACTTGCGCAGATTTAATGCAGCTTTGGGTTTCAATCAAAATTGAGTTTCCAAGTTTAAGTTCTAAAGCTCTAAGGTTCCCCATTCCCTTTGCGACATCCTATATATGTAAAGCTCGATTTTAAGCTGCCGCTGCATTAAGGACCAAATATCATTCGAAAATCAGTGTGGAGCAAGAAATGAGAATGATTGTATCAAGCTTTCTTCTGCAATTTGAAAAACTGTGTGAGAGATGAATAAGCTCACTTGTCACATTGACTTTTTAATTTGCCACTGAAGGTTTCTTTTATTTGTATTTAATTTCTATGTTTTCTTATCAATTAAAAATTATACTTTTTCACTAAAATGCCACCTTCATTACTGTGCCTGATTAAAGTTGTAGTAGAAATAATGTAACCAGGATGTACCGTGAAAAAATAACAGAACTGCAACTGTGCTGCATATTGAAAAAGTTTGGGAACCCCTGCATTTACCTTGTTTGATGGCAATAAAGATGATCACTTCACTTTTGAACTTGAGACATGAAGTTTTCTTCCGTTCCTAGAATCCAGAAACAAAGAGACAGGGTGCAAAATGGGTTGGCTAAAACTTGACAAAGCCAAAAAAAAGTGTGTTTAAAAAAAAAAAATCCAGGTGAAGACTATGTTGGTGGTTTTGACCAGAGAGGTTTGATTCAACAAGAATTTGTTCCTAAAGGAAAGCAGTGTTTTACATGGGTGTATTGTATTGGCTATTGAAATGCATCGCATGTATGCATCCTGCCTTTCATGCAAATAAAAGCTGGTTCTTGCTGCACAATAGCACATCTTCCCATTATTATTCATGTATTTTTATCTGTTATTCATGTATTTTTAGCCCCCAAAAAATGTAGTTGTGCTACACCACCCCTACTATTTGTCATACTTATAATATCAGATTACATTTTATTTATAAAACTGATCTTTTGTGATCAGTTTTATAAACAAAAAGGCCATTGACTCAACAATATCAAGATGATCCAAAAAGAATTACAAGGGAGCTAAGAGGCATCCCAGCAGAGGATGTCCAGCATGCTATGGAATGGCATGCAGATTGTGCCAAGCAATGTATAACTTTACAAGGATTATATATAAAATAATAGGTAAAAAAAAATTTTTTTTAACTGCAACTAGAATCAACCAACAGTCATTAGATCTGTACCAGGTTCAAAATTTAGGTTTAGATTCTCAAGTAGGATTATTAGATATTACTTTCCTCCCCATAAAGACTCATGATGGCAACATCAAAGCTATAAAAATATAACTGCAAAAGAATTTTAAAAATAATGTGAAAATAAGGAAAGTCTTGGATTTATATGACACTTGTAGGAAAATTTTATAATACAATTGCTCACAAAATTTGTAAAAAGTAATCACGGAAATTTGTGGTGTGATGAAATTATTACCCTATTAATGAAATACTTGTGCAACACTACTTCCTTTCTTTAGTGCATTCTCATAACAAAATTCATAATTTAGTAAACTTATACAGACATATAATTAGCTAAAATATTTTATATTTATATGTTATCAATATTAAACTAGATAAAAAGTGCATAACTCACCTATACCTAAATTTTGACCCTAAGCTGAATAATAGCCTACGAGTAGGAGCTCTTGGAACATGTAAACGAAAAAATGTGTGATGCTCTACACATGATTTCCACAAATTTTTACAGGAACGATAACTTAACATATTAAAACCTAACAAGCTGTCATAAGTTTCGGTCTGAAAATAAAAATGCAGGTATAATTCAGCCATTATGCATGAAAATAAATATAAATTGACATTAATAAAAACATTTTATACAATAATGAGAATTTTTAAACACTTCTTTTTATTAATTTTAAAAATATAATTCAGCCATTATGCATGAAAATAAATATAAATTGACATTAACAAAAACATTTTATACAATAATGAGCATTTTTAAACACTTCTTTTTATTTTAAAAATGTGTAGAATATTTCTATAGTTTTTATTACAATTTCTAATTTTTTCACTTTTACAAAACTAATATTTAATCTGATCTAAGGGTATCATGTCTAACATGTAGCTTTGAAAGAAACATAACTTTCGTTATACAAAGGAAAAGCTTCAATAGTGACAGGTAAAAAAGAATGCATATGGAAAAATGTTTTTAATCTTTTTAAATTATATAAAAGGATCCAACACAATTTCACAATTTTTGTTCAATAAAAAATGGAAATACAAGAAATATATTAATATTTTTTTCACAAAAAAGAAAGATAAAGGCTAGTTAATACAAACTTACTCCTTCTCTTCTTAACTGGATAAAAAATTGTTTTCTTTTGAAAGAAATTTTGACAATTTTTGCCCTAAAAATTAAAGAAACCATTAAAAACAGAAACAGGAAGATAGTTTTAAGTTATTTTAATTAAAATGTTTCTATATGTATGAAAAACCTTACCATGAAAATGTGTTTATTTTTAAATTATTTTGGAAGACAACAAGACCAGATGATGTTACACCAAGTTGTATATCCGCATTTGTGGAGTCCTAGAAAATAACATAAATGGTAAAATTTCATGCAGTGAAAATAAAAAGTAAAGAAGCTTTAAAAAAGTAAAGAAAACAACATCTATGTATACAAAAGAGACATTTAAAAACTTGAATCATGAATAATGAATGCATTTTATAGCACAAAAGTTTTCTTATGTGTAATATTTTTTATTAGTCCAAAAGGCCCAGAGGAGCTATTAATTTTGTTTTGGCATTTCGTGTTGGTTCACTATAAATGTCAGTTCACTTTTCAAATTCTTGCCACCAAATATTAGAGTCCTGTGTTATATTATTTAAAGAAATTAAATAATGAAGAATCTGCATAAATGTATGCATGTTTCTTGCACTGTGATAAAATAATGGTACCTAGAGCCATCCAATTTTGAATGATGTATGTCTAGACCCGAATATGGGTATCCGAAGCCGAATTTGGAATTTTAAATTTGTTTTATTGTAGATTTCATATTTTTTAACACTTACTGAATTTTTAATTAACAATCTCAACGATTTCAAAGCAAGCAATGGCAACACAGTACCGGGGGGGTTATGTTCAGCGTGCGAGACTATTTTATCAGAAATTCTACAGATATGCTCATTTTAAAATTATTTTGTGATAGTGCTGTTAAATTGAATTTTATGGTTTAAGTGCAAAGGGCATGATATTTAATAAATAATTTAATAAATAAAGGTAACACACGTTAAAAAAAATGCCCCTTTGGACATAATATAAAATCTAAAAGCCCTTTCAGATTTGTTTTTATTTATTTATTTATTTATTTATTTTCCAAATAAAAACCTAAGATTTTCAGTTAGAGAAAAATTAAATTCTTCTCCCATTCCCATACTAGCAAAATATTATTAAAAAGTGTTTGAAGAATTCTCCTTCGAAGCAGAACATTTTTTACATATGCACAGAGAATGCTTTTATTGTATATCTAAGACTTATGATATTGATGGTGGTAAAGAAAAAACAGTCTATGATTAAACCAATAAACTGTAAGCATATTCAACAGCAATGTGAAAGTGAAATACTTTAAGTCATTTGCTTTTAATTAAATACACTAGAAATTAAATAAACTTTTTAACTATTGCAAAATCCTTTCATCGTGTGACATAAAAATAAAATGATGTAACTGCTATCAATGAAGAAATTAAATCAAAGTCATCAAAGAGAAATTTAATCTGAATAGATTAATTGTCACACACCTCAGCCTTATGCCGACACTTCTATTGTTTCTTTATAATTATAGAGACATTAGGTTATTTTGAAGCAGGAGACATGAAAAATTAGCAGCACCTCGACAGGACTCGAACCATGGGCCTCTCGAACACACGCCGAGCATGCTGACCACTTCACTACAAAGGCATGCTAAGAAGGTGGAAGAAATACCTTATATACTCCCTCTTTTAAAGGGCAACTGGGGTTTTAGGAAACCCAATCACCAAATCCTGGTGGTGAAGAATCATCATTCACCATCTTTTGGTTCGGGCGCCACTGTAGCGACATTATGTTATTTCGAAGCAGGTGACATAAAAAATGAGCAATACTTCGGTGGGACTCGGACCATGGGCCTCTCGAATATGCGCCAAGCGTGCTGACCACTACACTATAAAGGCATGCTAAGAAGGTGGGAGAAATACCTTATAAAATTATATCAATGTTCCAATAAAATTCTTGTATGGACATCCTACACTTGTAAGGATCTTAAGTTTTACTAACGTTTATTTTATTTTAAATCTTTATTATCACTTCTTATTTTCTACTTCCGGCCAGAATTAAAAGTTAACTTGTTTATGCAAAATTTGTCTGGCGAACGCCAAGTACTTAAGTTGTGGCTTTTTGCCAAGCGAGAGAGAGGAAGGAGTTAGTTGAAGCAGGCCGCTTACCTTAGAAGTTTTACTCAGTTGCTAGTTGCCTTCCAGGCCAGAGGTTTAATCCTCGTGATAATTTTAAACGTATTGTAGTGTTAACAGTTCTCTGTACTACATACGGCTTCCTGTTAATATCCGGCCAATCTTACATGTCGACCCTTGTTTATTTATCCAAAGTTAAGTTAGAGTTTAATTATATTTTTATATTCTTACGTTCCAGACCACAAGTAGTTGGTCTCTGTATTCCGAAGTACGGAAATTATTGTAAAGAGTGAAAAATAAAGGGTTTTGTATACCCTTCCTGTGTATCCTGTCTACTTCCCACATTTATTGAACATAGCTTTAGTAAGCTCCCTGTTCCGAGTCAGGTCCTTGCATGTTCCCAAAGAAAGTAAGATGGAACATTGAACCTGATACACTTTTTTTTTTTTTTTTAGTCACATTTGATATATTATGAGAGCTAAAAGGTAATTTTCTTTACTTTCTACGCTTAATTAATGTAAATTTAAATAAATTTGTCTAGGCATTTTATTTTAAACTTTAGTTTTAGAGATGAAAAGAAAATAATAATAATAATAATAAAGGGAGAAAAAAGCACTGTGCCTTAATGTAGGAATTTATACATTCCTTCTAAGCATTACAGATCTGAAACACGTGACATACTTTTCATTCAAGGTTTTCTGAGATCATGTTTATAAACAAAAAAAGAATTAATTAAAATTTCTTTTCATTAAAAAATATGATTTCATCATAATTCAAAATCAATTAAAAAAGGGGTTGGTTAAATCTCTGATTAAAAAACCAAATTTATTAGCAGCCACACAAAGAAGCATGTATGTTATTTACAACAAATTTCCATATTTCACATGATAAATGACTTGGGTAGAATTCCTAAGCTAGACCTACAGTCTGCTAGATGCCTCAGAAGTAAATGGTGAATTCATTATTTCTCTTTAAACTTAAAATACAGTTTATGATTTTGTTCACAATAAAGATTTGTAAATATGTTAAAAACTGATGACATTAAAAGTCCTCTTTTAGAAGTACAGATTTCATTTTTGGAATGATCTTTGAACCTTTTTTAGATAAATATTCAACATTTTATTTCTTTTAGAAAAAATGTGACTATCAACTTTTCCTTCGTTGCGGATAATATATTTTATATTATTTCTACAGTGAAAAATGAGGATATTTTTCTTTATAAAATAGGAAGAAAATATAGCCTTTTTACCAAAATATATTTATGTTCATAAAATTTTTGACTCTGCAAACAATAATTTATAACTTGAGTATGAAAGAAGTTGCCAATTAAAGTTCAAGCTTATTCAATACTAGTTGCTTGCTTAATCAAACTATTCAAAAAATGCACATATCCACTATTGTTTTACAAAATTTTTCCAATACCCTGTATAAAAAACAGATGGTCTTTCGTCACAACCCTCTACATCAGTGGTAGCTAATCTTATGAAGCTTCTGAGCTACCATATCATTTTTAAATCCTACTGTGAGCTACCACCCAAAAGAACTACCAACTCTTTATTAAAAAAAAAAAAAAAAAAAAAAAAAAAACTTACATTTGTTTATTGCCTATAAACCTACATTTCTAGTAAATATGACATCAATTTTAATTAAACTGTATATAACAAAAAGAACTGAAATTGAACTGTACATAAGAAAGAAATTGAAGTGCAGTTAATAATAAATAGCAAATATAACAACAATTTTTTATCAGACTTATTAACTTTAATGAGAAGGATGGGACTTTTTTTTGTCATCAAGTTTTTTTAATGTTAGTAGAGTAGGTAGCAGTTGCCATTTGAACACAGTTGTCCAAGTGTTCATCAGTGAGTCTGTTTCTGTACTTATTTTTAATAAATTTGCATACTGGAAAAAGAAATCTCACACAGATATACAGAGCTGAATATTGCCTTCACTTTGAGACAAATCTGCACCAAAACTAGGTATTTTTCTTTAGGAACAGGAGGCCAAATTTTTTCAGAGCTTGAAGAAATCGATTTGGCAGATATATCATTTTGAATATCAATTAGTTCTAATTCCACTGCTGCATTATCTTCTTGAAAATCAAAATGATCCATGAAGTACAGAACTCTTCAGCACTAATCTCTATAAAAGGCGATTTGACAAACTGTGCAACAATTGAAATCTTAGAAGCATCTGCTGAATTCTATTCTCAAACCTGAACTAATTTCAACCTATTGCTTGCTGTTGTAAGGTGGCGCTGAAAACCCTTGCTCGTCAAGAGTTTGTTTCAAACAAGCAAGGTGTTTGTATTCACCTTAAATATTTTTTCCCACATTTTCAGCTTTTGTGAAAATGAACGAACATCTGAAATTGTTCCAAAAATATCTTTAACCTTACCTTGAATCTGCAAATTAAGGATATTTAAGTTTTCGATAATGTCTGCGAGAAAAGCAAAATCCGGAAGCCAAACCAGATCTTCCATTTCACAGAAGGATTGGCCTCGTTCTTTAAAAAATTCTATAGGTAAGAAGCAACTTTTGAAAATGTTGTAAAATTCTGCCTCTACTCAACCAATGAACTTCCATATGAACATACTAACAATCTAGTTCAGTAGACAGTGCATTTAACAAACATCTCTGAATTGCATGTATTCTAACTTTGTTCACTATTTTTATGACTGTATTCATTATATTGTTCGTAGTTAGAAAATTTCCACATAGTCACTCCTAGTGTATTACACAATGGTAAGACAGAAATTTCAGAAATATGTTGACTTTATGAGACAAGGTTATGAATCCCAATTGTCTGCCTTCCATTGCAAAAGCTCCATCAGTTGCTAAACTTACCAACTTACTTATAGAAATATTTACAGAGTTCATACGATCTTTAAGTGCTAAAAGTATGTCCTGTCCTGCAGTGCGTCCTGTTAATGGTATAATCTTTACCACTCCTCTCTTGTTTCGAAATTATCAAAACCCATTCTTGTAAAAATTCAACTGAGCTGTATCAACTATATCAGTCGATTCATCAAATTGCAGAAACTGTTAGCAATGATCACAGTCAGTTTTAAGTTGTGAGGTAATGTCAGAACTCATAACCCTTCTCTTATTTATTTGCAGAAAGCTGTATAGATTTAATAACAGACATTATCTCAGTTTTATTTTTGAAACTAGTATCAAATAATGCATCTGTGGCTTCTAAAAATGCAATTCTGATTATTTCAATATCTTTGTACAGTTTTTAATCCTGTGCAATAACACTTGTATTTGAAACTCGGAATGGCACCTCAGTTGCTGCTTTATTCTTGTTTAATGGTTTTTAAAATGCTAATTGTTGAGCATTAAGTTTAGATTTTAGCTTCCTTAACTTTTCTTAAGGCAGAATTCAGCGAGAAATCCTTTTCAATCCCAGTGTGACCAGTTTTGAAGTTTGCTATTCCCATTCTTCCACTCTTGCCTAATACAGTAAACACAAACATTTATCCTTTACCCATGTAAAGAAGTAGTCGGTTTCCCATTCCGATAAGTGCTTTGCTTTTTGCTTGACCACACTATTATTAGAATATACCTAGCTTAGTAAAAATTCATTATTCAAATTATTCGAGTTAGCAAATATCTAACATACTCCTACACACGAAAAACATAATGTGCACAACCTCACACATATACAATCAACTAGAAGATGAGGCTGACAATGGCAGTTGTGCGGGAGAAACAAGCAGTTGTTATCGTGAGCATCAGGGGAGGAATCAAGGTTAGCCAACCGGAGCGTTAAGGCAATCTACCAAAAATGTCCCTGTGAGCTACTAGTAGCTCGCGATCGACAGTTTGGCGATCACTACTCTACATAATGATTATTGTGGCAATGAAAAAAATACACATAATTTATCGTTTCACATTCATTAAACACACAAAAAAAAATACATCTCAAGGCACTAAATTTCAAATTAGACAGAATGTGGAATTCTGCTTACCCTTACCCTTGCCCTATGTAAATCGACACCATACATATCCAACCTCTTTGCATGGTCTAAAAAATTATACTCCGCATCTGCTGGTGTCTGCCCTCTAAAAAAAATAATGCAAAGCTGCTGTTAAAAATAATTTATTACAATTACTTTCAAGTTTATTTACATCTGAATATAAGTAAAATTAACCACATCTCATTACTATAGAAATTTAAGAAATAAATAATACAACTGGTGATTCACAATTTATTTTAAATTTTAATAATAAAGAAATTTCAGACAATTATATAAGTTTTGAAGTAGAAGAGCTTACCATTAATTGTCCTACACAGCTGATAATAAAAATGATAAACAAAAAATATGTATGTCCTTTAGTTTTAACATTTGAAGCTAAATAAATATATTACTAAAAATAAATAAGCTAAAAACATTGAAGCTAAGTATATTACTCTAATTTACACTTTGCATTCCCAAACATTTGAGATTTAATTTTTCAATTAATCATATCAAAGCTTCCACATGACAATTTGTGATAATGATTCCTTCTACTATTATTAATTTCCTTTCTTTGAAATGTCACCAGTTATTTTCCTGGCTTCATACTTAATCAGATTTGAAACTCTGAAATTTCTTCTAATGGATATATGTTATGGATAAGATTTACTAAACAGCTCCTCAAACAATTTCAGAATTTAAAAATACTATCAAAGATATATTTCATGCAACTGATACACAATATTCATGGAGATTATAGAAAATTTTGAGGGCAGATATCACCATAGTACTGATGTGGCAAGCAAACACTTTGAGAATTATAACATACGATTATCTCTTGTACACCTTTTCCAATTAAGCAAACAAAATTCGGTTACTTCCTTCAGTTCTCAAGTTATTTACATTAAATATGTATTAGTGAAGACCTGGCAATCAAGTAGTAATACAATTTGAATGTTCTCATTAATGAAAAAAATTTTATGGCAGGTAAAGAGATAATAATAAATCCAGGAGGGTTTTCTATTCAAGCTTTCAAAGATAACATTGGAAAAGAATGGCTGATGTTGCTAAAAAGAGATCTTTTGTAACTTTGAATGATAGCAAACAATGAAGAAAATTTGGGACAGATTTCAGAAAAGAAAATTGTGCTCTTATGTTGTGCCATATGAACTGATTACAGTGCATAAGAGTGATGACAGTGCTGCATCTAGAGTTTTCATTAAAATAGCAGATATTATTCAGTAAATTGATTTTTTAAATAAAGATAAAAGTATGAGACTTTTATTTTTCTAACTTTCTAAACTGAAATATTCCCTATACATACTGTTCTGAGCAAATTAAAAAAAAAAAAAAAAGATAACAAAGGATTAGAAGATTACACACATACATGTATACATACAAAGATTACATGCATACATGTATACATACAAAGTGATTCAGGCAAAAATGCAAATGCATAGGGACAAAAGAAACAGATTTTGTAATGAAATATGTGTATGTGGAAATGGTTCATTTAAATATTGACATGTAAGGAAGGTATAAATAACAGTTAAGTATGAAAGACAGGTAAAAAAAAAAAGAAACAGACATCTTAATGACTCAACTTTTGATAACAGGAGTTTGAAAAGTGTGCTACCAATAGTAATACAAAATTAACAGCGGAAGTGCAGGGACTGATAGACTTTACCAGAGGTCTCATGAATTTCACACACATTTGTAGCAGCAACTGATAGTTTAAGCACGAGATCTTTATTACACTCTACGGAATTAAATTCTAGATTATGCTCATAATATTTCCCCTACAAAAGAAGAAATAAATGCAAGTCAAATCCAGTGATCGTGATAAATATAGAACAGATCCATCCATGCTGTCCAATCCAATGGGAACTGCAAGCAGTGACGAGGTAATTTCTAACATTACTCCCAAAGTGAGCTAACACTCCATCATACTGGAACTACATTCATGCATGAACAGCTAGAAAAACACCAAAAGGAAATTCTGGCAAGATATCTTTTACAAGATACCTTGCCAGACAAAAGATTGTTATATATATATACACCGAAGAGCCATTATATTATGACCACCTTCCATCTATAACAATGTGCTCGCCCAGGAACAAACCTACTGCACGTGCATGGCTGATGTTGGACTATATAAAGCAGATATGCATTGTCTTTCCAAAAATAGCGCAATTAGTGACATAATAGGAAATGCAGTTGATTAACCAGACTTCGATAAAGGTCAAATTGTTATACTTTGGATACTGGGAACATGAATATCAGAAATGGTGCATTTAGTGGGCTGTACACATGCAGTTGTTGTCAGCATATATCGAAAGTGGTGTATGGATGGTGAAATGACAAGTTGCCAGCCAGCAGTATGTTGTTGATGACGCATTGATTTCAGAGGACAGTGGAGATTGCTATGTACTGCTTACCATGACTAAAGAGCTACAACAGCCAAAGCCAGACAGTGTTTCTCAACACATTGTGCAGCATATATTTCTGTTTACTGAAATAAAAATGAATATTTTATCTGCCTTAGCTGTCACTTTGCTTTCATTATGGATCAAACAATCTATGCATTCTGCGCGATCAACTTATTCTACAATATAATTACAACAAAAATCTGCTTCATTAAAATGAATGTCTTTTTTATTACAATGACTCAACGAGGATTAAATCTGTGACATGTCTATCAATTTCTTTTCTGCATGTCTAATAAAACACATTTTGATCTGTGCTATGCCTATTTTAAATATTACATTCATAATTAAAGCCCTCTGTTTCTAAATTTCTATGGTTGTAATTCTCATACAAGTTTGCACCATCCCTATTTTTAATTTCTGCATTCATAATCACTCTCTTGTGTGCCACCCAATATCTACAAAACGAAATTTAAGTGCTTTGCACTTAATTAGCACTTCAAACTCATTTGGAGTATTTTCCAATCAAGTCAGTCATCAGTTTGTGTTTATAAAATGTAATTTGCACTACCATATGCAAGATAATTCTGTTTTGCGTCAAAATTTAACAGAGGTGATGTCATTTACTTTGGGTGCATTGAAATGCAGGAAATGCTTCTCATCTTTTTCTGATTCCTGCATTTTAATATACAGCCTTATGTTTACCCAAGTTATTTTCTTTGAGTAAAACTGCATTAAATTACTGTTTTTTCAATGAAACAAAAGTGATGGTAGTGCAGTAGATTTAAAATTTTGTATCAAGTGTTTTAGTCAAAATTTTTACAATTTGATTTTATGGTTTTGGGAAAACAAAAAACATAGTGTTCAAAGAATGAAAACATAAATATTCCAATATTTTCATGTTAAAAGTTTTGCATTTATTAATTTTATTGGTGCATTTTTATTATACATTTTTTGCTAATGAGTACTAATGAGTATGTTTAAATTTTTTATAGCTATGAAATAATTAATTAATCAATATTACTTTGACATTAAATGTGTAATACGGTTTCTTCTTATATTGGATTAAAAGTTTGGCTTTGTTTTATGAAAAGGAAAGATTAAAATTTTTAGGTTTTACAAATATAAATAACTATTTTTGAATTAACTAAGTAAACAATTTTAATACTTTTTATTCAAGGAAGATTATTAAATTGTAGTGTCATTAATCGTTAAAATTTCAAGTTACATGAAATGCCTCAATTAGAACACTCTACCATCTAAACATACTACATCTGCACAAACATTTCCTTGAAAACACTGTATATTTTTGCCTCCTTCTACCTTCCTTTTTATTTTTGCCAGATGTTTTAGAATCACTCTACACATATGTAATACTTTAGTAGTTGACACAGCAGAAAACAAAACACGATTTAGGAAATGTCTAAGCTTAGTGTGCAAAAGATGTTAGCAGTAATAGTTAAGCTACATTAAATATATTAGTAATCACACACACTTTAATCAATCATTAACTTAAAAAACATGGCAAAAAGAGAGTTTAAAAACATCAGATATGAATAAAATCCAAATCCTCAAAACCAACAATTAAAAAAAATAATAATAAATAATAATTTAAAAAATTCAATTTTAAAATTACAGAAAATAAAATAATATAAATATTAACATTTTTCAACAAAAATCATAATAAAATATTTACTTACTTGTGTAATTTATGCAATTCCATTATTTTCTTTTCCATTTCTTCTGTTTGATTGGGTATGAGACGCAATTCAGATAAATACCCATTTTTGTGCTCTTCAGGATTGAAATCTCCAATTTCAGCTACAAAGTTTAAACAAAAGTTAAACTCTACATAATATCTATTATGTTAATCTTATTCAACTGTGTTAATTGGGGGGATCTAGTTCCTCCTTTACATGATTTTAGTCTAATATACTTAAGAAAGCAATTTTTTTAATCAAAATTGAACTTAATTCACAGAAACATTTTTACTACAGAGGAAAAAAATTCTCAGAATTCACATGCATAATAAAGATGTTACTTATAATCAGATTATTTGGTTTTGATAAAGATTGCACTAATTATAATATTTTATGCATAATTATTATTATTATGCACTATTTTATGCAATAAAACCTTCCAAATAAAAAATACACTATGTAACACAATATAAGGCATACTATACATAAAACGCAAAATAAATTACACTAAATAACACACAATATATGTTCCATTTTATTCCATAAAATCAACATTTTTATTAAAATTTCTCATAAGTCTGTCCGACAGAGAACATTTAATTTAAAAAATTAAGTTAATGATAAATAGGAAATTTAATGAAATATTTAGTTAAATAAAAATTAATTAATATCAAAATATATTTATAACATGATATAAATTAGTAAACTTACTAAGTTCATTTTAGGAATTCCCATCAATGTAATCATGAATACTTTAATTCTTATATGTTTAATATTACAATGTTTAGATGTTTTAATACAATATGAGATTTAATAAATATTGATATGGTTAATTATAAACAGTATTATTTGCACAGATTTCATGTTTAAAACTAATCTTCTTATATATAATATTTTATATACTACTTTATATATAAGATAAGTACAGGTACACTAGATCAGACTGTCTAACATTTTTCTCTTTTATTAATGAAATGGGCCTACTTCAGCTTTCAAGTTTCAAGAAAGCCCACCTGAATGAGTTCTATATTCAGTAACCATTTGATTTCTTTTGTTTTCTGCCTTTATTACCTTTTAGGTTATTTATAATTTATGGCAATTTTCTAAATTCATGTTTTGCATTCTCTAAGTTTGCTCAGAACTATACTCACAGTTTATTATAGACACCATCCTCACAATTTATTTCAGTATTTTTATTCACCAAAAGGTTTTTATTTTTATATTTTATAAAAATTTTAATTTTCTATTTTTTTCATTTAAAATTTTTTTTACTATTATTCTGATATTTAAACAATACAGTTCACTCAATTCATTGAACTCAAGCAAATTAATACTTCACTTGAATTCAAATTGCAATCTTTTCGGATTCCTAATTCATTGTTTTTTCCTTTTTTAAATTATTCATTTTTACAACTACATTTTTTTATGTTAAAATAGAAGCTTTTTCTAACTATTCTTATTGAGTTAAATCAGTTTAAAATTCACAGTTTTTCTAAATTCATTACCCTATGCGTTTTGCCATTACTACTATATGGGCAAATACATTTTTTCATTCCAAAACATTTGTTGCTCTTGTGTTACAGATTTCAAGAACTTACTCCATTATTTCTATTTTTTTATTTTTTGATCAAGTTTCATTTATTCAATTTTTGTTTTCATACACTGGATTACTTCTGTTTTACACGTTTTTTGACTTAATCCACAAAAATTGCAATATTTTTTTAAGTTTGATTGCTGTTTATGATTTATGCCAGTGTTCCCCAAATTTTTGACATCTATAATTTCTGTAACAATGAACCCTTCTATAATTTCTGTAACAATGAACACCCCTCAATCCCCCCGGGGGGGGGTGCAAAATATATTTATTTTTTTCTTTTTTAGTATATAAACAAAATAATAATAAATGAAAAATAAAATTAATTCATAATAAAGTATAAATAAAAGTTATATTATTAATAACATTCATTACAATCAATGAGAATAATGAAATAGTACATCATAATTTGGTTCCCTGTCTGTTAATTTTAATCTGATATGCGGTTCTACATCCAAAAGTCTTTGACTTAATATCTACAAATGCCGAAAAAAAATTTTTTCCATAGATATTAGGTTGTAAAAGGAAAGATGTATTCTCTGACTTTCTCTATTAAAACTGGATAATCATGTTGACTTTGCATCTAGAATGATATTAAAGTACGTTCCTTGTGTTCATTTTTGAAGAATCCATCAGAAGCTAATTCCAACAATTGCTCTTACTCCACATGCTATAAAACTTCTGGCATAGTTGCTGTATTAATGTTGAACAGATACCTTAGCCCTTCAATATTTTTGTTTAAATAAGGAAAATAGTTTTTCAGGCCCCCTTGCATATTCTTTACATACCGTGTTATACATTTCAGATAATCAACATCAATTTTGCCAGCCGATCCTGTTATAAACTTATGAAGAGAGGTAAATGAATCTACTTCTCCAATGCCTACTCACTTTTATAACAAAATCATGGTAGCATATACTTTATCTTGAATGAGAAACAATGAAATTTCTTTGCCTTCCAGTGATAAGTTGAGACAACTTAAAATAGAGAACATAGCTGCTAAGTATGCCGATTTACAGAGCCATTTCAAACCATATAAACAGTTTCTCAGCTCATAGTTATCATTAAAAAAACGTGAGATACATGTCTAAGTTCAAATAATCAATTTAGAATTTTGCCTCAAGAAAGTCAATGAACATCACTATCAAAACAAAGTGTATGATTACTTCCCATTTCTTTGCATATTTACAAAAAATGTCATGCAGTCAAAGGACAGCCTTAAATATAGATAATGAATTTTATGCTTTCATCCAGAACTTTCTGTAGATCAGCAAACACCTTACATGCTGCCAGAGCTTCTCTGTATATGCAACAATGTGTGGATATGATGTTTGGGGATGCATTTTGAATTCTAGCAACGAGTTCTTCATTATTTTAAACCATACTTTTCGTTCGATCAGAGCTTATTTTAACACATCTATTCCAAACAATTTTGTTTTCTTGCATTAATTTAGTCATAACATTAAAGATATTTTCTCTTGTTGTAGGACCTGATAAAGACTATCAAAACAATAAGTCATTGTGATATTTTCCATATCTAACAAAATACATAAGATTTACAAAATTCAAAATACAGTATATTCATTGCAATGCATCACAATCCGTAACACATAATGAGAACTTTGAGAAATATCAGCCTATAACATATGTTTTACTCTATTAGATGTATTAATGAATTGCCAATGAACTGCATTATTTGAAAGGGGAATGTGGTCGAAAGTTTGTTTTGACTTCATTACTTCAGGTAAACAGGCTGACTGCATGGGCGTTACATTATAATGCTTTGCTATCAGAAAATCATATGAAAGTCAAAAATACATAGGCCATGGTGTAACAGTTCAATGTATAGATACAAGAGTTTTTTGGGTGGTACTGTTGCCTGGCCATGCAGTGATGGAATGCACAGAATCAAAATGCCTGGCATTGCCATACCCAAAGAACTTCTACGATTAAGAAGCTTCCCCATAGAAAGGCTACCCCCTTATGCACTAAGTTTAATATCCATCCAGCCTTAATACCTTTTTGCACATGCATGAAATAACTATCCATCTGTGGTCAAAGGTCATGTTCGTGAAGAGTTTACACTTTTGTGATGCACTATATATATATATATATAATGAATAATTTTAATACATTAAAATTTACATTAGAATAATTTTAATTTTTATACATTAGAATAATTTTAATACATTAGAATTTAAAAGAATTTTTCATATTCAGGTATGAAAGCTCATTGCAAAAGGGTAAATATTTTGTTAAGATCATTGAAACACTTTGTTGAAAGAATAACTAATCTCAATACACTATATGATGTTTAAACATCTTCCAAAGTTATTACATATGATGATAATCATTTTTAGATAAGATTGCTACATACACTGAACAGCGTAACTTGCTAATAAGACAGAAGTTGCTGAAGGAACTATAAGTTTGCCATCAAGTATATCTTTCTTCAGCTGCAGGAAGAAATGATACCTGAAACAAAATACAGTCATTCAAGAAAATCTATCCATTACAGTAATATGCACAAAAAGAAGAAAATTACTACCTATTATTTATAAATATAAGTGGGAAATGATAAAATACATTATATCAAGTATGAATGCAAAGGATATAAATAAAATTCTTGAGAAAATGCAGTATTTCCTTAAAGTCAAAGTTCAGATTGCCTATTCAGATTACAAAATTCCATTAAGGAAATTTTCCACATTTATGAACAGTTATATCATGTAACTTATTAAGGTGAAACAACATCCATATGGCTTGATAGGTATTCCCATTCTCAGAAACTCATTATGCAATCAAAATTATCCAGACAGCTTGATATGTTAGTTCTCTAACAAATGTGTACAAAAATATGATGTGTGTCCATTTTTTGTTGTGATGACTGCTGTTACTCTTTAGAATAAATACACACATTTTTTTAATGTTATAATTAAAATGGAACACATGTTTGAAAAAAGCAGTAGTTAGTTCAGTCACAATGTCAAGAGCATGACCTGGCTGCTTCCAACATTCCAATTTATTTCAAAATTGTTCTTTAGGATTCATTTCAAGGCTCTGAACAAGGTCATTCCAGCTTTTTAATAACCATATCAGCAAACCAGCCCTGTATGGGAAGTGCCTTATAAACATACCGAACGAACTGAAAATGCTTTAACATACTGCGTTGGAATGGCATGGGCATAGCTAGAGGGAGGCGAAGGGGAACATCTGTCCCCAGGTGCAGCATCCAGGAGTACTGAACTGATGCTACAAATTTTTAGAATGAAATATTTTCCATTCTTTGCAAACAAGAGGGGTGCAAGATCTTCATTTGTCCCTGGGTGCTGAAAACCCTAGCCTGAGCTCTGTGGAAAGCTCCAAATGTCCTTCCCTTTTTTTTGGCTTGATAACTACAAATAATGGGAAAAAAATTTATCCACAGATACAGTAGAAGTCCAGAAATCCGCAAAGCTTGGGACCAGAAGTTGTGCAGATTTTAGGATTTTGCGGGTTTCAGGACAGAAAAGCTAAATCATAATATTCAGACTAAAAGTGCAAAATAAATAAGGCATATTAGATACATTTAATTTCATTACATACATTATTGCAATAATTTATTATATGCATTAAATTATTATTACATATATAAATTGATTATATTATTCATTGTATTATATATGCACACAGCATCGAGGTTTGCCGATTGCGTCTCATGCAAAAGATTTCCAGTTTCGGATTCCGGTGTTACAATCACTGTTGCTGTAAAATTTCAACAGCTTTTATTTATTTTTCCGTATATCACACACAATCGTGTAGCAATTCCGTACGATTCTGCTATAAACCAATGAGTAGCACATGCCTCCCTCTTTTGCAGAATTCGTACTTTTTGCATTACCGTCAATGCAACGTGTTTACGTTTATTTAGCACAGAAGGGCTATTAATTTCAAAACGCCATTTTGCATCAATTCACTTTTCAAACTCTTGCCATCAAATATTATCACCTTGTATTATACTTGAAGAAACTAAATAATGAACCTACAAGAATGTTTCTCGCATTGTGAAGAAACAACTGTACCTAGACCCATCAAATTTTGTATACTGTAGCCCTCCAACCAAACATGGGCACTTAGAAGCAAAAATTTTTAGTTCTAAATTTGTTTTATTATCTATTTAAAATTTTGTAAAATTTAAACAAATTTTTGATTAACAAATTCAATGATTTCAAAGCGAGCGATGGCACCACTGTACAAAAAAAAAAAAAATTTATCTTTAGCAAGAGAGATTGTGTATCGAAAATTCTAAAGATATACTGTTTTGGAATATTTTGTGATATTGCTATTGAATTGAACTTTATGTGTATAACATATGAAAGCTTTCAGATTTTTTATTTATTTATTTTTAACCCCTTCGTGCTGACTGTCACGTATACATGCCAGCAACGAACGCACTTACCTACCGGCCGACATGCAGGCGTGCCAGAGGATTGTTCCATTCTCTACCGACTGTCATGTATTTATACTTTGGAACGTTTTTCAAACTATAATTTCTGCCACAAGATGGCACTGTATGTCCATATGGTTTCAGATACATGTAAATTAGACCTTCTACTCGAAATGAGAGAAGCATGACTCACATACACGTGTTTTTGATTATATAAACAAACGGGAAAATAAATGTTTCCGAATGGCGTGATTTATGACGTCTCTTTAAATCGCACTTTATTCGCATGTGGTAGTTGTTTACTGTAAGTAGAGAAGTTTTATTTGCTCTAAAGTGTTGGGTATTTCGGTTTGCAGTTCAGTTTTTAGAAAATAATTAGATCTTGTTAGACGTGAATTCTTTGTTTTTACCGTTGCAATGTCGAAGCGTCGAAAATGTTTAACAGAGCATGAAATAGCAGAAATGATGTAAAATATTTCAGATATTGATTCTGAAAGACATTTTCCAAAACTTTGTTCAGAAGAGACTGATAAGAAAATGAGACGACAATTCTTCGTTTGTTCACATTCCCAGAAAAATCCTCCAAAATGGCAAATGAGTTATTACGAGTGCAAGGAATGTAACGTAGGACTGTGTGTAGATCCCTGTTTTCAAATTTTTCATACGAAAAGAGAATTTTAAGTAATATATTTAGTTTTCAGATGTATAATGTTAAAATTCATCAAATGGTGAGTAATTAAAATAAAATGTGTAAAATATGCATTTAAACAAGAAATAAGGTAATTAAAGTATATATATAAAAATATTTATAAAGCATAAGCCATTTAAATACTCTATACAGAATTATTAAACAATGCGTTGATACTTCGGAAATTTCATGGATTTAGGCTTAGTAGCAAAAAAGCCCCAGGCCCTGGAGAGACGCTCGCGTAAGACACTGCCGGCCTCAGCGATAAGCGCGCGTTTTCGCTACCCGGCTCGAAGGGGTTAAATGTCGTATTTTATACTATAAGTGATAGACACACTTTAAATAAAATACATGTAAGAGAATCACATGAAAGAATTGTTGTAAATTAATCAAGCATTTTGAAAAATAACCCTTGTAACTCACTTTTTCTAATAACCCTAGCAATACCACGGCACAAGTTGACCACGGCCAAAAATAATACCCTATAATCCTTAACATATCCATCATTTTTTATTATTTTATTAAAAACTGAAATACGAGTTGGAATAAATACGATTTGGTATAAATACAAATTATTAATGGATATATGATGAAACATCCCTCACTATAAGATTTTGAGATTTAACTTGTGCTTCCGGACCCATAAACAAAAGATAAACAAAATTTACTATCTTTATCTTCAAGAACCATTGTGTTGGAACAACTAACAAAATATTTTTCACACTTTTTTAATTTTTTCAGTTAAAGATCTTGAATTAACAAATTTACATTTGTTTGTCTGCCATAGTGACAATAATACATTTTCCTTTCTTGATTTGAAGAATTTCATTTTGAAGTCAGCATTTTTGAAGTCTGATTTCTACTTTATTTACATCACTTAAATTCAGATTTTGTTGTATCATCTTGTGTTGTTGAGAAAATGATAACTTTAATTTTTTTATATCCCATATCTTTTAATTTCATGAATGAATAATGATTAAAATTCAATTTGAAAATGTAATTATTTTTATTAACTAATTGATACAAAATTTAATTGTTTCTGCAAAAGGCAGAGATATACTAGATTTTAAAAAAAGGCAGAGATATATTACTAATGTTAAGTAATAAATCTTCAAATATCTTTTGAATTAATGTCATTATAAATACAATAAACTGAGGGATGAACCTAATTAAATTTTTACATTACACTCTATATGAAGTTATAAATCATATAAAATAAAATAAAAACTATTTTAGTGAAAAGAGGCAATTTGCCCTGAAGGACTTTTAATTTCGTTTTGGCATTTTGCGTTGAAAACTTTAAAAGGCTGCATCACTTTTCAAATCATTGCCACCATACATTATTGCCCTGTATTATATTTGAAGAAATTAAATAATGAAGAATCTGCATAAATGTATCTATGTTTCTCACACTGTGATGAAACAACGGTACCTAGAGCCATCAAAATTTGAACAATGTAATCTTCCATAGAATATGGGCATGTGGAAATCTTAATTTGAATTTGAAATTTGTTTTGTTATCGATTTCAGATTTTGTAACACTTAAATGAGTTTTTGATTAAAAAACTAAACGGTTTCAAAGCGAACAATGGCAACACTGTATGAATTTTTTTTTTTTTTTTATCTCCAGCACGCAAGACTCTGTATCCTAAATTCTAAACATATGCTCATTTTAAAATTAATTTGCGATATTTGCTAGTTGAATTTAATGTTATGGTTTAAGTTTACATAGAACATGATATTTAATAAATAAAGGTAACACACAAAACGTTAAAAAAAAAGCCCCTTTGGACATAATTTAAAAGTCTGAAACCTTTCACTTTTTTTTTTTTTTTTTGTTTGTCTGCTTGTTTGTTTGTTAGTTTGTTATTGTTGTATAAGTTGAACTCATTTTTTAAAAAAATGCCAATTCTAAGTATTATAAATATAGTGAAACCTTTCTATACTGTTCTTGCATAATTTTGGATAATTTGGCTCTTTTTAGGAAGAGATCATCTTTAAGAATATGATGGTGATATTCATTACCACTATTTTATTAGGATCTTCAAGATATTGGTCACTTTCACAGATGACCATCTCTGATAGTGATATATTAATTTAAGCCATTTAATTAACTTGAGGAACTTAAGAAATATGTCTAAGATGGATGGCTAGATTTCCGCAGTATTCAAATATTCAAATTCTGAAAGGTAATTTTGACTGAATAATTACAGAATACTTTCACGTCACAGATGTATTCTGAATTATTTAATATATTCACAAAAGTAAAAATTCCCTCAAAATTAAATACAATCCTTTTTAGATCACAGTGAAAAATCCCTAAGATATAGAGCCATGTATACAGATGACTTGATTTTCTCTGAAAATAGTCATCTTAAAGTAAACACAAGTATTTGTGATATTTAATATCCTCATTTAATTAGGACTTCAAAAATTGCAATCATTTTCACAGCTGGTCATCTTAGAGAGTACCTGCCATGACAGATTTCATTGTATTCATATATAAACCATTTTAATGATAGGTTTTCTTGAGTGATTATTGACAAAAACCAATTCTTCATGTGTAAAGAAATATTCTGAATTATTTGACAGTTTCTACAATAAAAATTTTCCATAATTTAAATACAATCCATTTTAAATGACAATAAAATCTCAGCAAGATGACCACCTATGGTTTCAGTTGATTTTGTACTCAGAAAACAAGACTTCCAATATCAGTACTGCTTTATATAATTATTTATTCCCAGAAATACTGTATAGCTTCAGACATAGTTGTCTTAGGGAATGACTGCTGTAAATGGATCCATATAGTACATCATACATCATTCTGGAGAGAGTTTTACGAAAAGAAAAAAAAAATTACTGTTCAGAAACATAAATTGGCCACCACTGTTATAAGATATCTGCATTATCAAGTTATATCTGTCAGTGATTATTCATGAATACCTATAAAACAGACAAGATAAAACAAGATAAATTCACAATTAAAATGTACCTTGTGTATTCTTCATGAAGTTTACTAGGATCACAGACATAAAATTTGACTCTAAAATATAACAGATATGGAGGACCCACTAAAAAGAAAAAAGGAACTGTTTTGTACATACATGAAAATTAACATTTCACACAATTTTATAGTTAATATTCATTACATGCATTTCTAAATATAACACGTTTTTATGTATATCGTATAATATAGTTAGGTATAATATTCCTAACCATTTTTATGAAATACAAAATGGTCCAAAAGATTTGTGCTACTTTTAAGAATTACAACAAAAAAGTATATACAAAAAAAAACTGAGTTCACTAATAATGGTAGAATGAAATCAAAAAAAAAAAAAAAAAATCATTATATGGTTAACAAATTCCAACATGTATCATTTACACTTTTGGTTTCTCGATACATACGATTATTAACAATCCAACACACTACCTTAATTCAACTGTGCATTAAAATTGGTTATGAAACAATCCCAAGTACCTGATATATTACTGCTTTGAATCTTCAATATTTACAGTTCACGATTAACAAATTATTGGTGCTTTCTAATTAATTGTCTCCATAAGAAGTCACCTTATTGGTTACTTAGTGAATTGGCAAAAAAACCTTCAATTTGGCTATTTTTGTCTCATAAATACTATTCTATTCATAAACAATAGCCCCTCAAAAAAAGCATTCCTTAAGAATCAAGAAATTTTATGAGGAAGGGAACAAGTTATGACCAAACAAAGGACAGGAAATGTACTTGAGAGGGGGAACACCTATCAATAAAATATAAAGGATGTAAATAAAATAAAGAATGTAAACCACATATATTAAAAGATGTGTGCAGTATGGACAAGTTGCCTATTGCCCTAAGTATAAGCCAAAAACATGACAATTCTATCACATACTGAAACAAGAAAGTTTTTTGTTGATACAATCTATTTCATAAAAAGAAAGAAAGAAAGAAAAATTAAACGATATATTGTTTAAAAAATGTTTACTCCATTAAAAATGAAGATTTCACTGCACAAAAAGTAAAGCAATAAGCAGGTTCTTTTACATCTTCTTTTTAAGCCAAAGAATAATATCACTGAAGCGAGTTTCCATATGCTTTGTGATGCTCCATATGCTTTTGAAACTGCTTTTTGATGGTGGGTTTCTGAAGACGGTTATCTTAGTCACATCCGACAAATTATTTTAAAATTTTCCCAACAAACAACAAATAATCATTAGAATTAAAAAATTGCCTGCCAGTAGGAATAACATGGAAGATAGAATAATAAAATTTAGTAAAGATATATCAAAGCAAATAAAGTCTGATTTAGATAACATTGAGATATTTTCAATATGCCTTGAAGAAAGCACAGATGTGACTTTAAAAGCACAGATGTGTGATGAAAGCACTATGTGAAAGGTTAGCTCGTTCGATTTGCTTACAGAAAAGTAATGAGACAGGAATTAGTTGCATTGCTGAGTTTACCAACCACAACCACAGGTAAAGATATCATGAATGAAACAATGCAAGAACTTGCAATAAAAATATGGTTTGACTTAAAAAGAACTGGGTCTGTAACTTATCATACCCCAAATATGGTAACAATATGTAATGAGCTTGTAAAATTTCTGACTAAAGAAGTTCAATTGTGCATCCAATTGTGCAATTTCATTGCATTTCGCATCAACAAACATGTACAAAAGCTAGTATGAAGTTATTTCAGAACATTTTGTCTGTAATAATCAAAATTTTGGCATTCATATATGTCCCGTGCTCTCAATAGTTGCCAGCTTTTGAAGTTGTTACAGAAAGAAGAATCTCAGTATGGTGGACTTTTTGTACATTAATGTTCACTGGCTAAGTAATGGACAAGACCTTAACAGATTTATAGGGTGAGGACAAAATTCGATTTTTTATATCAGAATAGGCGCAAGAATTTCGAGAACTAACGGATCTTATTTGGCTGTATGATTTAATGTTTTTCAATGACTTTACAGCACTCCATAATGATGTAAATAAGAAATTGCAAGGGAAAAGGCAAACTGCAAACAGTTGTTTGAGATCATATTCCTAGAGCATAAACTTTATGTATTCTTTAAAGGTACTGAAATAAAGAAGTTTAAATATTCCCCTCCATTTGACAGACACTTAGAATTGATGTCAAGTTTTGCCAATAAATTATCCTCTTAAGACAGAGAAAATATATTTCAGAGCTATTTGGATATTTTAGGAAATTCAAAGGAGTATCTGTATTATTTTCTCAATTTCGGAATTTGGAGAAAACACTGTATTTTATTTCATTATTTAACACTGCATTTCACTTTGCTAAATTGGATGATACAGTGACATTTCTTGAGTGCTGGATATTATCGATTTGAAATGTAACTGTCAGATTTCAAAAATATTCTCTACGGATGAATAAATTTGTCAAACTTGCTGAGACATTAGAAAAAGTGGAGCATGCAGATTCCAAATACTGCATCCAAAAGTTAAAAAACATAATCCTTGACCAATGGAACTATCTCCCACAAAAATTTTCAGCCATGAAAAAATTTGCAACAGCACTGTTTACAATATTTGGGTGCTCATATGCTTGTGAGCTGGTGTTTTCATTAATGAAATCTATAAAATCGACAATAAGAACTCGTCTTAGTTCAGATTTAAGCGAATCTTGTATGCTTTTAAAAACAAGTAGTTACAACCTAAATATAAATCACATTGCTAATAGAATCCAGCAATAGGTGTCACACTAAATGGGATTAATGCATGTAGTTTTTGAAAACTAAAAAGTGTATTAAGGACACCATTTTTTAAATAAAAAAATAAACAATTTATAATATATTTTGAATTGCACTGATAAATCTAATTTTTCATACTATAAAAAATTAAAAGCATCTAACATTAATTACCTTTACTTAATTTTTTCACTTACAATAAAGGGTGCCTGCTTTAAAACTACATTATCTTAATATAAAACTGAAATATTTTTTAAATACTGTTTATTCAAATTACAAGCAAGTTAATAACTAAACAGCAAATATAGTCACAAAATATAATTCGATAGTTTGAAATCAAAGCAGAGGTTTAAAAATATAACAAATGGCACACTGAACACCTGAAAATAATAAACCAAAATTTAACTGGCACACTAATCGAAAAAGGTTCACCACTGCTGTTTTAGACTGTTTCAGCTCTAAAAATATAAACAAAAATCTAAAAGAAATTATAAAACCGCAGCAAAGCAAAAAATAATGAATACATTCTTTAAAAATAAAGAAATTCTAACTTACATTTAATTTGTTTCCTAATCGATTTAGCAGCATCCATCCACCTCTAAAATTGATCAATTAAAAAAAAAAGCATTACTAAACAAATAGTAGTTATACCAAATCAGTACTATAAATTTAAATAAATTTAAAATTACAATATTCAAAATAATTTCTCCAAGTATACAATAAAAAGTGACACTTTTTATCATTTCAAAGAGCTACTACTTTACCTCAAAAACAATAAGTGATCAACATCAACACATGTTGTATTTAATAAAAAATACAGCATAACTTTAACAAATCTGAACATACTGCACACAAGATTTTAAAAAAAAGAAAGAAAAACTTATACAACCCAGTGGTTAGTTTTATCCTGAGGTAAATAACATTTAGTATTGCTCAGAAATCAATTATTAATATTAAAACTCTGTGCCTTATGTAAATAGTATATGGTCTTTGAATGCCACCTTTTTACAGTTACAGAATGATGTATATGTATGTTATGAACGTACAATTACAGAATAGTGTAATATATATATATATATATATAGTATGTATATGTGTGTATATGTAATAATTTCATTAGTGCGTTGACAGAACTTAACAGATGATGATAAAACTGCTGAGTAGATGTAACTGGAAGGAAAATAAGAACTGGCTTGAGGGTTGAAACATCACTTTTATTTTGAACAGGAATAACTCTTCACAAAACACTTTGCTTAATTGATACAACTTTTGCTTAATTGGTTATGGAGTTCTAAATTCGTCCTACTATTTCTATATAAGCGGTTTACATTTTAAAGACTAGGAAAAGAAGATTAGTGAAGAGAGATAATTTTCTAGCCAGTGAGTGGCAGGCGAAAAAGTAATGTTTTATAATTGCAGTAGTATTTATAAGCATAGAAAGACTTTGTTTTAATCCTAAACAACGATTAAGCAAAACTCTTCAGCATTGCAGATATTCCATAGAAAATATGAATGCCTTGAATGAGGTCAGGCTTTAACTGACAATAAGAAATTTAAAGATCTACTGTCAATTTATTCAAATTAAGTTTAATCTGTTAATAAACTTCCATCATATTTTCATGTCTTACATATCCTCTTCCAAAGAGAAAAAGGTTAAGCTATAGAACAGCCTTTTGAGGAAAAAAAAATATTAAGATTGCAAACAAAAGACAAATTTTATATAATATATACATTTTCATGAAAAAGCAAATGAAGGGCTTCAGGGACATTAGCCATTTAGGTTTCACTATGCCCATCACTTGGTTCATGAACTTCCTCATATCTGAATATATAAAAATGTGATTTATAAATATGACGACAAAATACTGACCTAATAATAAAATATTATAAGCTTCGTAAATTGAATTTAAAGTCCACTTTGAAACTTCCCAAAGTTTCAAAGCCTCAATTCAAACAGTATCAGTCACACAAGCAGTGCAGTTACATATATTTTTGATGGGGGGGGGGGGACTGTCGACTTTTTAAATTACTTGTTTTTATCTCATCATGAGTTCGATGAAAAACATGAATATAATTATGATTATATTAAATATGGTTTTGTTGCAATAAAAATGATGTTAACCAGACAAAATGTGTTATTTGTTATGAAGTACTGAGCAATGATTAACAAAACATAGCACATTAAAAGATAAGCCGAAGGAGATTTGCTGCAAAATGTGCAAGTCTGAAATTGGATAATACTGGATCCTTTAAAAAGCTGATAGGCTTATACACAGATGGCACTCTATCAATGCTTGGATGTCACTCAGAAATTCATACAGATGGTCAGATAAAAAAATATGTATATTACTGCTATTTACTGTGTTGTACACTGTCAAGCCTTAGCAGTTGACACTTCCAGATGATCTTAAAGATGTCTTAGAATTATGCATAAAAATAGTTAATCATGATAAAAAAGAATGTGCTAAATACTCAACTTTTTACAGCCCTTTCTGAAGGTGCAGAACAGAACAAAGAAATAGTGTTATTTCAGATTAAAGTACAATAGCTCTCAAAAGGAAATATGTTAGCAAGGTTATTTAAACTTCATGATGAAATGATTCAATTTTGGGAAATACTAAAACAAACTGAATTGTATGTTGAACTCCAAAAACCAAGAGTTCAAATTTTATTGTCGTATCTAACATATGTGTTCAATTTGTTGAATTCAATGAACTTGAAATTACAAGGTGGAGATCCAAATATAATTTATCATCGGGATGCCCTCATAGCATATGCTGATAACTACTGAAATGTGAAATTTTAGCCTGGAATTATTCCTTCTTTTCCAAATTATTTGGGATCCTGAAAGATGCATGCTTTAATGAGCATCTCACTAATAAATTCAGATGTTACTTCCTAACTCCTGTCATAATAACATTTATATATTGGCAACAAATGCTTTACACTATGACATAAATATGCTGCCAGGAACACTACAACAGCAAGCTGTGGAACTCTAAATGATTCTGCAGATAGATGTAACTTTGAAAAGGTGGATAAGCCATACTTTGGGTAAAATACCTACCTAAAATTTATACCAGCATTGAAGAGAAAGCACCACAACTGTATTTACCACTTTCAAGCACATGTTTGTGCTAAAGGGTGTTTTTAGCAGATGTAACAATAAAAACGAAGTATAAAAGCAAACTCAATACTGCTAGTGATTTACCTTGTGCAATTCATTATATTCAGCCAAGAAATGAAAATCTTGTCAAAATTATTAAACTCGTTCATCTCATTGATTGACTTGTTTTTTCCCCTCACCATATGTGTATGAAAATGGCATATTTCTGTAATAAATCATTATAAATTGTTTTTGTTCTTATCATCCTTATAGATCAGTAATATTATTATTGGGGATGTGGGGAATTTTCACTTTCGATTTTGGGAAAGCGTAACAAAAAATAAATCATAGGTTCCCATGATTTTTTTTTCTTTCCATATTCCCTTTTATACATCATTCCCCTTTTAAATTCTTAATTAATAAAAATTAGGTTTATTAAACAAATCAATTATCGTTAGTTGGTAGCCAAGCTTTTTTAAAAGCCACTCTAAAAAGCATTTGGGTAGCTGCATGATTATTCACAGCGATGCATTTAAAAAATATATATCTTTTGAGAAACAAAGATTTAAGTGTTACAAGATAGCCATGAGCTGCAAATATTATTTTTAAAGACACGAAGACATAAATGTGAAATAAAAGTATATTTGCAATTAAATATCACACTAATTATCGCTCAAAATTAGAAAATTTATTAAACAGAAATATGAAATTTACTATTTATACTTGTAATTCAAAAAACAAAAAGTGAAATTTTCAATTTAAGAAAAAATAAGCTTTTTTTCTACACTCAATTATTATTAATGACATTATATGACATTAAAATTCTCTTTTATTGATTAAATGCTATAAACTGCTGTAATGTTTAAATGTAAATGTATTGCTGTAAATGCTTGCAAAAATCAGAAATTTTATATTTCAATAAAATAAAAATTTAGATTATTATTTTTAGTCATTCAGTTTGCCAGGCAACACAATTAAAAATTGTAAGATAAATTAAAGATTTCACATTGCACTGAATAGCACAGAAGTTACTTTTTGCACAGCTATATAGTTATATAGGCAACAAATTAAGAGAATTTGCATTTTATGTATTAGCAATACTTGCTAAATGATTTGGTTCATGGTAATAAAACGTAAGTCTTAAAAAACTTTAGAAAGACGCCATAAAGACATTTCTAATGCCATGACAAGGTTGTTTAGATATGAATTAAGCGAATTAATTACCATGGTGTCAGATGAGTGATCATTTTCAGAAAACTGCAAACCAAAATAGTCTTTCTCGATTAATTCTAAATGTTGAAATACCATGTCTAAAAGAATCTGGCCTTTACTTCGTTTCTGAAAGGAAAAGATTATGATTAATAAATTTCACAAAATAGAAAAATTTATTCTTAAAATTAATTTATTGATTGGTTTGCATATATAAAAAAAGGATAAAACTAGTTTGAACACACATCTAATTCAAAAGTCTGCTGGGAGTCGTCCAGGAAGAAAACAGTACATCGGATGGTTTTGACACGTTTCTCTCGAGCTAATTCTGAGGCGCGCACGTTGTAGGTGCCACTTGATCCAACAAAAGCTCTCCTGGACATGCTCCACTACTGGCCACTGCAAAAAATCATGTTCAAGAGCATATAGGTTGTTGTTGAACAGATAAATAAAAAATACATATTCTTTTATTAAATGAAATGCACAGATTGTAGAGGAAAAATATTTAGATCAAATAATTAGTTCCAGACTCATGATGCAATATAAGAAATAAATTATACAAACCTCCATTTTATGATAATTCTGATCATAAGATTATCAATGGTAAAAAATTTATACAAAGTATAAATATTTATTTTAGTCCCATAGAAGAGAAAAAAGTCAATAAGAACAGAAATTTTCACAGACAAATTAGTTATTTTAATCCTTATTTTACTAAAACTGCCTAAATTAAAACTTTTGAGGATTGTATACATATACTGCAAATTTATAAAAAGATAATTTTTTATTAATTTAAATATAAATGCTTCCAAATTGTCATACACAGAAATGCTAACTATCAAATTCTGATTTTCGGGTTTATATCTAGTAATTCTGACCATTTTTTTAAAAGCCAATGCACATTACACAGATTACAACATGAGTTACAATTGCAAATGGGAGCACTGGCAATGGCCTTGACATGTCTTTTTTTTTTTTAAAGTAACAGCACTGGGCATGTCCCAGACATTTATCTTAGTATTTCATTAAATTAATTCTGTCATAAACTGGAATGTATTTAGGAACATATACAGTGATTCTTCTTCTTAGTTTTATTGTGTAACTGAAAATTCTAATACTAAATCAGCAGATACAATAGCAAGACTTCAATGACTTTCGGAAACAAAAAAATTACACGTTCTTAAATGAACTTCCATATTTATTCCACTTCCAGCTGAATAAAGTTTTGAGATGTGGATGGAGATGTGTGAGATGTAGAGAAGGTGGAGTTTGAGATGTGGATGTCTTTCTTTTCTTAAAAGTCTCAACTTCTGCCCAAAAGTTTGTTTTTCAGGGAAAGACAGGCACGCATTCGGATATTAGAATTGATTTTCACGATTTATTTATTACTAAATAAATTTTGCAAGCTCAAAAAATTTTCTGCTGAAATTATCTTTTAATTTAATAAAAGAAGTATTGGAGAGCCTTTCATTTAAGGCTCTCATGTGATGCTGCTAGAATAATGACTTATCTTAAAAACTGAAAAGTACCGAAGCTAGGTCCAGAGCACTTTAAAGCTCTGGGATAAATACAAGGATGACCACAACAGCAAATGCTTGGTAAGTTCTAGTGGGAAAAAAAAACACGACAGTTAAATATTCAGGCCATTTGCTGCAATTATTTATCCATGACAAATGTTAGCATTGATGAGGGAAGAAAAAAGAAAGAATATTCATACAAATATTCCACTTTACTTTTTAAACTGATTATAATATTAATAGTTTCTAACTTATAAATCTAAATTTTGTGTTGAATAAATATAAATTTCAAAAATAATTTCAGTTTTCAGTGCTACAGCATTTGTTTCAGTATTTCTTTTTTTGAATGAATAACAGCATAAACAGAATATCAAATTATTTAATATATGCATTACCATATGAATAAAATTAATATATATATATATATATATATATATATAAAGGGTGGCTGCAAAGTCATTGTACAAACTTTGAGGACTGGTACAGGACACCGTAACAATCACATTTTGTCAATTAATTTCCACTTGTAAACGAGGTTATGAAAATAAAACACTTTCCCTATCATTTGTTCTTTCCTGTATTTGTGCTTCAACGCTTTACTTTTGACCATACATTCCTGTACAAAATATGATTGTTACAGTGTCCTGTACCAGCCCTCAAAGTTTGTGCCATGAATTAGCAGTCACACTGTATATGAAAGACTAAAAGAAACTTGAAATCTGAATGTTACCACTAAATTTCATCAAAATCATCAGATTTTATTCTGTATGCTAACAACATATTTTTGAATGCGATATGTTATAAGAAAAAGCCTTTTAAATAATTAAAATCTTTTTTAATACAATAGGAACAAAATTTGAAAAAAGAAATGAAATATAAAGGCTTGCAACCTGCATGTTACTACAAAGCTTTCTACATAACCATTTAATTTTTAACTTTATTTTTAAGGCAGTAGACATAAGAACTACAAGCAGAAATTTTACAATCAATCTATTCTGAGCATAAGAAACCTATTTTATCTATTATACTCAGGGCTTATACAGCTGAAACCTACTGATACTCAGTTCTGATATTTCTCAATATCTGTGGAGAGGGCAGATCACAATATAAGCAAGAGCACACTGAAGTCCCTAACAAGTTTATAAACTCGAATACTTGTACAATAACTGAATTTCAGTACTACCAAAAATCTGCGTTTATTTTTAAGATTTAATAAAACTCATATTAGCAAATATGGAGTATGTCTTTTTCTTGGAAAGGGCAAAATATGTGGGAAAACAAACAGCTAAGAAAAAAAGCCCTCCAACATGTAAAAATGTGACTTCCTTCAAGAAAAAATTTTATGAGCCTAATCCACTGGGTCAAATAAGCTTGGGTTATAATCACTTTATCAAAAACAGATTAGAGGTCTTCCTGCTGTATCTGCTGATTTAGTATTGGAATTTTCAGTTACACAATAAAACAGAGAAGGAGAATCACTGTATATGTTTCTAAATACATTCCAGTTTAAAAAACAGAATTAATTTAATGAAATACTAAGATAAATGTCTGGGACATGCCCAGTGCTGTTACTTTAAAAAAAAGGCATGTCAAGGTCATTGCCAGTCCTCCCATTTGCAATTGTAACTCATGTTGTAATCTGTGTAATGTGTATTCGCTTTTAAAAAGATTAGAAGCCAAAAGGAAGCAATTTTATCTGTAAAAAATACTCTTAAAAATGTTTACCTTTAGTTATATTTGATATCATGTCTTGTTACAATTAATTGATTCACTTTCATTTCGTTTGTAATTTCATTTAATTCTGATAATACATTTTAAAATGTATAATTAATTTACACACTCTTCATTTGTTTCATTATTTTACTTAATTTTATGTTATTTTAATTTTGACCTATTTACCATTAATTTATTGATAATTATCTCTTCAAATTTCATTCAGTATTAACTATATGCTATTCCTTGTTTTGTTCAGTATTATCATATTTATTTCTATTCACAACTCTTAATGAACTTGTGACTGAATGATATGACTACCTTATCAATTTGCTGATGTATAGAGTTTTAAAAATATGCACTTTTTTTTAATAATACTAAAGATAAATAAAAAACCTTATAAATTAAGATAAACAAACTAAGGTACTATTCCGTTTTGAGGACCGTAAAAATTGTAGCGAAAATGTTTGTGCAAAAGCGGCAAATCTAGCAAACACGCCCATTTAACAGCATGCCAAACGCCAAATCTAGCATATGCTCTGATTTCAAATTGCGTAAGTTTAGATAGTTCTATATTTCTTCAGACGCCACTGAAAAACTAGTTTAATATTTAAAACCTTTCTTTTTAATTTTTAATTCTTTTTTGATATCCTATGGATTTAACAATTTGGGAATTGTTTTAAGAACTGCACTCACTCGATATCCATGTACACATCGACCTATTTTCACTTAAAAAAAAATACCGGAATTGCACAAAAATGGCACTGTGCACACCCTTGACTTTATCTATGTACACATCGACCTATTTTCACTTAAAAGCGCCAAATAAATAAGTGGGCGATTCTGCACTTTGTCAAAGAAAAGGCATTATTCATTATAGAAAATAGGGTCCACCAGCGGCCAAGCCGCTGAACACTGGTAGTTCAGTCCGAGGTTCGAATCCCGCGAACGGGCTGGCTGCATGGTCATTTTCGTGGTTTTTCCCATGTGTAACGTATATATGAGCCAGTTTCCCTTAGAAAGTCCTCCACAAAGGCAGATAGCCCTCGTGTGCTTTGCCATAATTGAATAATCCTAATCATTATAGAAAATTATGTTTGAACAACCAACGAGATGAAATTATGCTTTAGCGATAACTCGGTAGCGAAATAGCGATGCAGGAATCCATTCAGTTATGTTTAGCTTTTTTTATATAAATTATAATAATAATCTGAAATAGTTATTTACTCTTATGCTTTCATTCAGTAATGTTTAGCCTTTTTTATATAAATTATAATAATAAAAAAGTATTATATGAAATTTAACTTTTCATCTAAATTAAAACAATAATCTTTAAATAGTTATTTACAGTCAAAAGTCGTTAATCCGGACTCGTCGGGACTTCGGCGATTCCGGATTATAGATCATCAGTTTAAATCTCGTAAGATGGCATGCACAAATTCTAAAATTCAAAATATGAAAACATATTTTAGGAAATAAAGAACAATTATGATCTAAAGGGTATCAAAATTTACAAAAAAAAAAGCTTAATATTTATTTGTTTACTTTATTAAACATTTCTTTCAATGTAAGTTGTTTAAGTTGCTTCATTTTATGTGATAATACTTTCTCTTTAATTCTATAAACAGACATACTTTCTTGTTCAGTTAAAAAGCTCCGCTGTTCAAGTCCCGTAATTGCTGTGCCGAGAATACCGACTATCTTGTCAATCGAAATTTTTTCGTTTTCACTAACCTCTCTGTCACCTTCTTCATGTCTTTATCCATTTTTTGCAGCAATTCCACTTTTTGTTTGACGAACATCAAGACATACTTTCGTTTTGTAGATCCTTTGGGAGCTCCAGAATCGGAAATTGACATAATCGAAAATTCAAGTTTACTTTTATAAAATTGCTCTTACAGTATGCAAAAAATAATAAGCTGCATCCAATTCAAAGATTAAGGAATAACGCAAGCATCAACATTAACTGAAATAGATAACTGTATAATTTTAGTTTATACCGTCCGTTATACGTTAAACGCGCACGCGAAAACGTATTCTGCACTTGCGCGCACGCGTAAACGCCTATGCGCACGTGTCAACGTGGCGCATGCGCAGAAAATTTTTAGCTTTTGAGGTCCGGATTATAGATCATTCCGGATTATGGGTGTCCGAATTAACGACTTTTGA